AAGAATAGATATATAATAGAATAGTTACATATGTCTAATTGTAGTAGGTTTACATTATTTTTGGGCTGCTTATTACACTTTAAATGTAAAGAGGTAAATAACAATTATTTGGAAAAAGGCTACTAGCCTTTTTTAGAAGTTTTTTACTGTGAGATTAAAACACGATATATTCATTTTTCTTAAGTATTACATCATGAGATTATAATTTACGTTGATTACTTTTTAGAATTTTACAAGAAACTTACACGCAAAATAGGAAACAATATATACAAAAGTAAAACAGTATAAAAACCTTTAAATTTAACTTTCCAATTGAACGCAATTCTATAGTTTTCTTGATAATGGTTAACTACAAAAAAGCAAGGTATGCGGTTACACAAGGGTGACGTTCACATTCAAGCTCACTTTGTACCTTATTTAGTTTCTTTTTACCTTTTTATGTTTGCTGTGGTGTAAAAGTAACTTGCAATAAATAGTGCTGATGTCGAATGAACGTTTACAATAAAAAAATAACAAGTTGTTGGAAATGACATTGAGTAATGTAATACGCAAGTTGTTTCATTTCTTTGTTATGTACTTTGTTCATTCCTTTTTTATATTCATAGTTAAAAGATATATCGAAAAGGAATATTAGAAAGTTATACTTATTTACATTATAGTCTTATTGATATGAAAATTATTTATAAAAAATTGAAACGTTAGTCGATTAGCTACTATCAGTCCAAGCAAATACATAGTAAAATAAAATAATTACTGTCCAATGGCAGTAGTTAAATAAGTTTGATGCTGAATACAAATTAGATGTCGCATGTGGCAGACGGCTCATGAATATATGCACGGATAAGCCAACAAAGTAGTAGCCAAGAGTGTGATAATTTAACTAAAGAATCAAACTACTTTAAAACCTTTGTAATTTTTATTCTCTGAACTCCTTTTTGCATTAAGAATTTTTTTCAGTACAAAAGACATCAACGCGTTCAGGCACAATGTCGATTCTTTCATAGTTCGTGAGCGCTTACAAACTACTGGAAGTTCATATGAAATGTGTTGCTTAAAATTTACAATATGTTTTCATAACAATGAAGTTCTATAATTGGACTTAATGAGGTCACTTATTACCTTATTCACTTTTTATAATTAGTGTTTGTGTTTGCAAAAGGTTTGTGAAATTATTGTATAAAATAAATAATTATACACGAAGTTCCTCTTCCAATCTTGTTTATTTGCACAAAAATACGTATGATACTCTCCAATAAAGACATTTAAATGAAAATAAAAAGTAACCTAATGAAAGTTATTCCCAAAAAATGTTAGTTAAAAAAATTATACGAAAAAATAAAATAAATTTGCAAGCAATAAGATTTTTTTTTAATAAATTGTGTCTTATTAATATAAAAATATCGATTAAGAGTAAAATAATTGTATAATATTAGATGTTAATATAGGATTATAATAATTTTAATATATCAAATTACATTATAAGACTTACTTGCTAAAGCGGCGACCGCCGTCAATACGATGAACACTTTCATGGTGACCTTTTGATTATAATATTTTAAAAAAATATATGATAAAAAATACAATGACTAGATAGCGGCCCGACCCCTTTGGCGACCCTGGTGCGACTGACGAATATTGCCTTCGCGCGCGCCTTTTCTTCACCTGACCTGTGTATGCGCTCCTAAAACCGGTACGAAGACTAAGCTGTGATTTAACTAATTATTCTATCAGTAGAACTAAAATAAATTAATATTAAATAAATATTACTAAAGTAATAAAAAAATGAGACTACTTTACTAAAAATTGATAAATTCATTATTGTTCATTTTATTCTTGCTGGCAATTGTATACGTGTCATACAGACATAATAAGTGACCTCTTAGCCTTATATGTGGTTAACAGTACGTTCTTAAAACACAACTGGCACGGCGTGCATAATAAATAGTGCACTAAACAGTCTTTTGATTTGAAATAATATCTAGGCTATTATTTATTGATTTATATATAAATAATATACTATAACAGTTAAATAACTTCATTTTATTATCTTCGTACTTACGAATTCATTTGTAAGGCGACTGGAGAGGTATTCGAAGGTAATTTATTCGTTCATTTTTTTATTTTTTTCTTTATTCGAAGCACGTATTGAGATGTCTAGTACATAGCCAGCCGAGCACCGTTCACTTCGACATACCTTAGTTTAAATTTCATGTTATTCAACTTTCCAGCAAGTCGATCCTGAGATTTTTTTACAATTATTGCTTACTATTTATATAGGATTTTTCTGAATTAATAAATAAATTTCTTATCTATAAATTCTTACGTCTCAAAGTCTTTATTAACTAAAGGTATGTAGGTATATGGTAGACAACGCATCTGCAATTGCTGATATCTATAGGCAGCAGTCGCTACGCCATTTTGGCGAATATAGGTGGCCACTTGATTGTTTGCCACCTAATAATATAAAAAAGCTTTTTAAACTATGGTTTCCACTGATATAAAACTGCAATAAAAACTTTGTCATCACTCATTATCTTTTAAAGAATCCATGGAAATACAAAAAAGTCTGAGAAGTCATTACTAGAAATTCCTGTGTGAAATTATATTTGAAAACTTTGTGTCGTGGGTGTGCAGCCATATGTGCCTACTCTTGTTAGTTTCTATGCGTTTATATCGGCACAATGATTTGTTACAAGGTCTCGTATTTGATCCCTTCTAAAACCTGGTAAAGTTCTGAATAAAACATCAAGAAAAAATCTTAAATCATTATTTGAAAAAACAAATGACACATATAAGACGAGGACGTAATCAACTACGATCAATAGAATAGAGTCAGAGTTTTAAAAAAAGCTAAACTTCAGATGTAAATTATGTCAATGAGTTATCGTTTAACAAAATAAGCAACAGTGCTATGTCCTATATTTACTCGACAATACGACTTTCTTCTCGTCCCTTTACGACATACAGTGCATTTTTAAGTAATTATTTACCTATAACTATTTTAATCGTTGAAACAACTTTTTCATTTAATGTCGTACGCCTTCTAACGCAGAATAAAATACTTTCGACATTGATTTGTCGAAATATACAGACTCATAAACAATAGAGCTACATACGTGTGATGTATTGCAAAACACCTCTCAGTAAGATCTGCAACCGGAACTAAGATATAGACATCGAACATTATCAAACGGCATTACATCATGCGTATGTGCAGACAGTTGTATGTGTCAGTTGTGCGATTGTGCCTGTATTGCAACGCAAGAAGAGATGACATGACATCTTAGAAATAATATGACGAGGCGTGAACTTAAGTTAAATGTCAACTTTCTGACCATCGCACTAATGTAAATATAGTAGAATCTATTATTTTTTTGTTTTATTACAGACTCAAAAGATAAACTAGAATTACAAGAGATGACATTACTGTTTCTGTTAACTTATTCCAAATCGCAGGCCTGCCTTTATGTAAGAGGGCTATCTCAGGACATTTAATATTAATTTCATTGAATGTTAGTAGTTACTTTTATTCGGTTAATGATAACGTCTCATGAAAGCTTCATTACGTTAGTATTATAGTGCGGTAAATTTACATTTTATTAAAACATCTCTTACATTAAAAACTAATTAAGATCTACCCACGTTACATCTAGGCAGCACGGCTCATATTTAGCACTTGAATTATGTAATTATCATGCAATCACTTGTTACATACGAAACTTCATTTCAAAGAAATTGATGAAGTCAAGGTCTGCGTTGGTGCAACTTTTCTACAGGAAATGTTATTTTTATAGCGTAGCGTGCATCACAGTAACACGCGTGAAATTTGGCTAATGATTCAAATTGTCTACAGCTAATATAATATATGTACGTGTCCACTATGGGTCTGGAGTTCTACCCTAAAATACATCACAACAGATGGGCCTAGTATATTTATAATCGACATTGTTTTTTTTTCGGTCCTTAATAAGATTTATTTCTAAAATTGTAACGACAATTGCAACTTATGAATCAGCTGGAAGTTAGTCATCCAATGAGGAATTTATAGCGTAGTTAGCAATTTATATAGGTTGGTTTAGTTGGTAATAATTAAGTACAATATGGGTGGAAAATATTACGCGGTTCCATTTTTAAGATAAATAATAGTCAAAAGGTGAAAGTTTCTTTATTCATCTCTACTAAAAAATTAAAAAAGTTATTAACGTACCTTCTCCAATTTAGTTAAGATACTAACTTTTGTGGCCTAAGTATAAAACCCTTGGTGTTTAATAATACATAAATTAAATTATATGCTACAGAATATGTTGTATATGTATGTACAGAATATATGTATATGCTATAATTAATTTTGTTGAAATCGACATAGCTTCAGCATCACGTTGCTAAGGTCAACTGATTTTTTAATATTCATATAGAATTAATAACCAATTTAAGGAGATTGACTGCTTTACAAGAGTAGGTCATTTGCGTAAGCATAACCGGTTGTAAAGCAAATGATAGACAGATCGCAGACAATAAGAGTGGTTCTAACAATGGATATTTTTGCAACATGCTCATTTGAAATATCACCGAAATCATATATGCCGTAAGTTGTGTCAGGGGTTAAAATAAATGTTGTCTTTCTATTTTAAACTCTAATTAAGCTAACTAATTGTTTTCCACCGTTGAAGTTATTGCGGGAGAAAAGTTAAGTATATTACTTAATTTACCTGCTAGGTCCTAAGCGAACTCTTCTTTTCACGGAATACTGATTCTATCACAATTGTATTCGATTTTTAATTGTTTAAAATCGATTCAAATATTTTTTGTCCTAATAACTACGCTTGTCAATTAATACTTAATTAAGATTTAAGTAGTAACCTAATAAGATCTCTTCATCAGTTATTTATATTAAAGCAATATTAGTTAAAAAAAAAACACAAAATCTTTTTTATTTCATAAAATCGAAAATAAGTCCTACATATTCTGTGACAAATTGTTTCATAAGTGTCAACTGTCAAACAAGAAAAAACAAAAACATGTAAACAAACATATGAATATCATGGCATTCCTTGTCTGACGAGTTGCGGTTTCTTTAAATTAGAAGATAATTTGCAGAGCTGAGAAATTATTTCTAGTCAAATCTTAAGTTCAATTGCTCATTATGATTATTGCTCTGCAAACCTTGATTTACTTTCGCGAATCATTACTTATTATTTTAGATAGACTGATAGGGCCATATTATAAACGCTTCAGTTTTTCTCTTATCAAGAAGAGCAGTAGCTCTGACGATGAAGATTCTGATGAGCAAGTATTTTCCGAATTTGATGATGAAAAAGGCGTGATATTTTTCCCACCGATGTACGTGCAACGATATGCCGCTGTCAATGATTGTCTTTTGGATGAAAGATGGAATGGAAAATTAGAGAAGGTTTGTAATTAAGATGTATAATGTATTATTTAATATAAATGTAATTTCATTAGACATCGTAAACAAAAATGCACAATGAGGTTAGTTTTATTATTCACACAATTTTCTTTAATTCTTAATATAATACAACTTTAGTTTATAATTTTTATGATTTTCAGATTGTTGACCTTGGCTATCATGATATGACTTTTATAAAGTACTTAAAGGAAGTGCCTGGAGTCAAACATATCCTAGGAGTGGATATTGAGAATGTATCTTTGCGATGTTCACCTGATATAATTTGCGATGGAGAATATGCACCTAGAAGAGAAACTCCACTGCAAATTACCGTATGTGTCCTGGTTATACTCTTACTTATATAATTATAGTTTATCTTGATAGCAGTTAGCCAATGCACCAATTTTTTTCCTTTCAGTTATTTGAAGGCAATGCAGCAGATCCTGATTATAGACTTATTGGTTGTGATGCGGTAGTTGCTATTGAGATGATAGAACACATGCTGCCACATGATCTAGACAGGCTGGTCCATAATATATTTGGTTTCATCCAACCACAAGTTACAGTTATCACAACCCCAAATGCCGATTTTAATGTTCTCTTTAAATCCATGGAGAAGAATGGTCTTAGAAGATGGGATCATTTGTTTGAATGGAGCAGGGAGCAATTCAATGACTGGTAAACTAAATATAAAAACTTAAAATTGTTATTTAAAATAAGTAACTTAAAGGATATATGTAATCTTTTTTATTGTTATTATTATAGGTGCAGTAATATTGTATTAAGGTACCCAAATTACACTGTAACTTGTAAAGGTGTGGGACCCGGTCCTACCGGAACTGAGCACTATGGTTGCTGTAGTCAGCTTGCTCTATTTGTTTCCAAGAATTATCAGAAACAACAATCACTAACTATAGATAGCATGGCTTTAGTAAAAAGTAAGTATGTGTTTTAGACTAAGTTATGTATCTATAAATGTTAATAAAATTGGAGTGTCTGTGTGTAATATTGAAAAAATAGTATGTGTCTGTCTGATTGCAAGGCTGCATTTGTTATGGGTAATCTCTGGTACAGCTGGGCCGATTTTGACAGATCTTTGACTGGAAGGTAGCCGTTGTTTGCGGGCATATTTTCTGTGCTGTAGTCTTGGTACATAATACAAACTATGTATACATATTGGAGGAATTTTTATGCACAATAATTTATATAAATCCAACTTAAATTCTAGGTCTTCCAAATGAAAATAACTTGAGTGAGGTAGAAAGTTGGGATTATCCAGATTCAATACATGAAAGTAATATGTTGTGTGCGCCACCTAAGTGAGTAAAAGATATATTTTTTTAATTAGAAGTCCCTCTAAAGTTAAACAATGGCCAGTACTTTCCCTAGTCACTTTTTGTATCACTATTCATTGATTCTCTCCTATCCTTGGATAATGTGTATAGAACACAAGTATTATTCATTTTTACTCTCCTAACAATCTTTCGATCCCATGTAGTTCCTAACCATTTTTTTAATCTTCCCAGCGATGAATCCTTTACCGAAATCCCTTTCCCCGAGAAAAGGTCCTGTATGACGATTGTTATATTCAGCTCACCACCTATTGATACTTTAGTGTACAAAGATAACACATCACAGTGTAATATAGACAGAGAAATCGGTAGGAGCTATCTTATGTTTGACGAAGATGTGTCAGAAAATGTAGTAGTACCAAGAAGGAAAGTGATTAACAGAGTGTATGAAATTGAGGATGTTTCTAGCAGGTTATTATTCCGGTTTTTAATTAATACAAGAGACTCCATAATTGTAATAAGTGATGTTTGCTTTTTAGTAAAATACAATTTCAATATTATAGTATTGTCAGTATGTAGCTTAGAGCTTCTGTGTTGTCTATGTATTTTCCTATAGCATGTATGTTACATTAATTATTTATTTATAATTCTAGTTCTGGTTACACAAACCATGGGTTTTTGAGATTAAAATCTCTGTATAAAACATATCATCCCTCAAATGAGGATTTTGGTTTCAGAAACCTATGGTAACTGATTTAATCAAAGATATTTTTCTTTATAAAATTTTAGATTGCACTGTTCAATGTTACAAGTGAGAAAATTCTCTAAAACAACACAAAATTTGATGGCAAAGAATAAATTGGATTCTATAATGCATACAAGAGAAATTGTTGATGAAATTCGACAGTTGACTAAAACACTGAATTTAAACAGAAATACATTAGAACAGCAACACAAAGTTTGCACTTGGAATAATTTTAATTGGGGTGAAAATGCACCATATTGGAATCAATACTATAGAGTTGTTAGAGATTATAATTATCCATATGAAGTAAGTAAAGGCATTTAAAAAATTGATCAACCTGTATGTTTTGTTAGGATGTTTAAATTTTATTTAATGTGGTCTGTTTTAATTATTTTTTTAGATAAAAACTGAAGAAAGCCGCATAATAGAATTGATATCTGATGAAATAAATGAACTGGTTGACTCTCAGATCTCTTCCGAAGGATCCATGAATAGTGAGAAATTAGAAATACCTTTAGAATATTTAATGCGTGCTGTTGAGCACATAACAGATGACATGGATAAAGTCAAGTGAGTTCAGTCGGAGTTACTATTTCGAAATGCTAACGATTTCTATAGGATATTATTTTGATATGCTCTGTGGCGATTCATAAACAATATAGAAGTGACTGTCGCTACTACAACCACCTGGTTCTGGGAATTTCAGTATGTCCTTTGTAGCTTCTTTCTCAACTTTATAGCCTAAGTAGCCTAAAAATTTTAGCTTGGGAGAGCTTCAATCGGCTTCTTTATTACATCACTTTAATATTGTGCAGTTAATTTTTTTCAACATTTCTTAACGTTGAGATGCATAAACCTATTTAGAGAAGCCTGCAGAAGCATAATCCTGAAGTTCATTAAAAGACTAGCGTTAACTTTCTTTCATCTTTTCAGGGATCTACTTGAATGGAACGGTTACGAAGTGGTGGACAACATTGTGATACACTCGCGTTTGATTGTCGAGAACGTTTCCATGACAACGCCAGAAAACGACTACCAAGATAACGACGCTCTCTCCGATGTAAAGAAACAATTTGAATTTGTAGATGTTGATGACGTCATGTAGTTATTTACGCCAATGTATAGTTTTTTTTTGTATACTTTCATCATTGAAATCCCATCTATTAAGTATAATTACCGCCTTAAGCATATAAGATTTTTTTTCAGTAAATGGAAGTAGTATGTATGTGTATATAAACGTGTTTATTGTTAAATGGTAAAATACCTTTTATTGTCATCCCTTTCTTGTCAAATTCAAATAATAACCCATTTAAATCCCATGATGCCATCAAACTGTGACTGACTCATTGTTTTTTACTGAAAAAATAAAGACTATTCATTTCTTATTCATTCCTTTATTGATATTTTGTTACCCATTTTATTATTAGAAAGTGTGGTAAATTATTTTTTGTTTTCTAGTGGGATATGACGGAGATGCATTCCACTTCGTATTCCAATGCAAGTTCGAATTCATCGCACCCGAATGGTTTGTCATTGTACTATAATCATAGATTATACAACCATAGTGATTTACGAATCAAAGATTAGTCATGGAACAATTTTTTTACCGTTTTTTTAAAAAATATAACCCCGGATAAACGTAAAATATATACCTACACGGTTATTTTGTAACAACCAGAAAAATAATAGCATACTTTTTAATAAAAATGGTCTTGACAGACACCGAACGGACAACAAAGTGATCCTACAAGGGTTCCGTTTTTTTCCTATGAGGTACGGAACCCTAATAAGGACTAGCAAGAGTAGATTGAAGGAGCTCATGTCAATCAATTAAGTTGAACTATTAGTAAATCCACTCAAAGGGAAATTGCGCTTTAATGTTGTAAGGTAGTCTGGTCGCTCCAGTGCAAAACGACATGCGGCTTCAAAGGCATAGTTGGCCGCTTAATAGAAATTGGGTCCAATTCAGGTAAATGGCTCCAGCGCTCTTTGGACTTCAAAGTTCGCAAGTTACGCAACATGCTGACTGCAGACGAAGACATAAGCACAGAGCTTGACCGCGTGGTCTGCCGGCTGATGAAACTGGCTATTACAACGCACAAGAATAAAAGCATACCACCGCCGACCTCCTGGCTTCAATGCAAGCTACTAGATCTACTTACGCTTACCGAGAGGGCTATCCAAAGGAGAAAAAGATATTATTTTAATCAAAATCTATCTTTTACTTTTGGTGGTACGAATCCTATCATGTTTAATTATCTTAAGTTAGCGAGTTTGTCTTGTATTTTGAAACTACACTGCTTACGAAACTGAAGATAAAGTGTTCTGTTGTGTGTAAATAAGTAAAATTAATCTCATCTAAACTAATTCTTTATAAAATATTGAAATACGTTTTTTTAAAGATTACCAAACAAATGCAACCAGAGAGATAGAGCCTCTTAAAAGTACCGAAAATGCGTCAACGTAAGTATTAACCTATCTTTAAATAAAAAAAAAAGTATTTGACCTACCTATCTTTAAAGAAAAAAGTCAAATATTTATTCTATATTTTTACAGAAAGGAAATTGTGTCCAAGTATAGTCATTTCGTAGAAACTACAGGTAAGAGACCATACTATTTCGTAACAGAAATGTTCCTCTTTTTTTGTAGGGGGGGGGGGGTAGCCAAAGATAGTCTAGACGTATAAAAAATAAATGAGTTAAAATTGATTTTTAAGTAGTATAGTCTTTTAATTTCTAATAATAGTTTTTTTACCTATTCATGTCATATTTTCATTAAAATTATAAATTTTCAAACACTTGTCTATGACAGACAAGGAATATTACAAAAATACAACGGTAGGAGCGTACCAGTACGTACACTTGCAAGTGGAAGACGACGATATGAGCGTTACCAGTAACGAATTGATTAAGGGTAAGTAAAAGAATTTTTCTCGCATGATTAATTGATAAAACATGTTATTTTATTTATGTTACAATTATAGTTTACGATTATAACAAACAAGAGTGCAGCGCTTCTCCTAGTTTTGATAAATTGAAACCTAATAATTTAAATTCAAATGTACGGGACCCTTCGCCGGCAAGAACGTACCCTATAGTTGACAATTATTCAGGAGTAAGTAGCTCCGGTGATACGGATCACAGTATCAAATTAAGCAATGATAGTAGAAGCAAGAAATCAAGCAAAAAAGGTAGAAGGGAAACAAGCAAGGACAAACATAAAATAAAACTACTTATCAAGAAAAGTAAGAAGTCAAATGGAAAAGAAACTAAATCCAATGAAAAACATGCGGGTAGTACAGAAAAAAAGATATATTTCAAAAGGACAATTAATAAGAAAAGTTTTTGTAGATGTACAATTAAGAACAGCGTTTCTTCTGCTGAATGTGAAAGTAACAAAGTAGAAAATAAAAGAAAATCTAGACAAAGTCATCAAATAAGGTCAATCTCAAAACCGGTATGTTTGAATCACATTAATGCATTAATAATATTTATAAATTATCTAAAATTTTAAACTGAGACAAACATATGCGTATTGACCTTCATGTACCATATAAGATCACAATATGAAATGAAAAGGTGTATTGGTGTTCGATAGTTTATATCCAAGTACCAAGCAACAGTTTAGCCATTTGCAATTGTTAAAAGGAATATAAAATAGGCTCGTTACTGCTTAAAATAGGTAGTTTATTTGACTTTTACAACTCGTTTTTTTTAAGATTCCTTATAGCTTGGTGAATCTTTGCACTCCAAACGATGATGATGAAACCAAGAAACTCGTTGACGATGTAATACCCGTGGAATCTAATAATAGTGAACATCTATTACCACGAAATCAAGAATCCATTGCAATTACCGAACAAAGTTGTGTTATAGAAATTGTTACCAACAAAACAAGTGAAACTTTAGCTCTTCATCGAACAATAACTACGGATTTAAGTAACAGCATATATAAAAATAATTTACTGCCTTTGGAATTCAAAGATACGTTGGACATTGTGCCTATAATAACTAAAAGCGAAAGTTCTATTCCTGATACATTGAACACGGAAAATGAAGAATCCCAAGCAATATTTTTATATGGTAATTATATTTCTTTGTCCGTATAGTATAGACTCACAGTCATACTTATTTTTAGATTATTGTTCTAGATATTAATGAACCCAGTACATCAAAAGGTATACGTCATATCACTATGGACGTGCAATGTGGCCCTGATACCGGATTCGTATGTCCATATTCTTCAGCAACATCATTAAATAAGATGACAAACGATAACATGAATACAACAGATTTGAAATCTTTCATTGATGAAAGTGAACCAATTCATTATTATACCAAATCTGAAGATACTAACAATGTAAATATTGAAAATGTAATTAGTCCTAGAATGAAACCGAATGGTATTCAAATTAAAGATTCCGACAATGCGTTAGATAAGAAACTAGAGATTTCTAATAGCGCTGTGACTCATACCGTTGATGCTATTGAAACATTTAACGAGTCTCAAGAAAATATCTTTAATGCCTCTGTAGACGTAGTTACTTCGGTATGTAAGAATTACGACGATGTATCACATATAATTAAACCAGACGACACCTACTTTCAAACTCCACAAAACATAATAAGTAAATTATATGTAAATGAAGATGATCAGTCTAAACATACCCCTAATTACTTGGAACCGATTATAGATTTGCCAAAAATCATAAACAGCACTGAGACAGAACAATTTTTAAGGAAAGAAATTGATTTTAAAAACAGCATTTGTAATATTGGTAATGGCAAACTGGCATACGGTGGTATCTTTATTCATAGCTATAAAGAGAAAACATCCTGTGAAGATATATTATATCAAGGAAAATGGCAACGTTCTCTAGCAAAAACGTTTATAAAGAGAAATCCCGCGACTACGTTCACTTTGAAGAAAATTACAGAGAGTCATAATATAAAGAGGAGAAATTCTAAACTTAGTTTGACTGCAAGAACTGGCGGAAAGACAAATGAACACAGTGAATCCAGTAGCAAGGTTCGAAAAATAAATAATTCACTAGAAACTAAAAAGAATAATAATGTTTCAAGCAATAATAAAAATCTAGCAAAAAGGAAGCCATCGGTAGAATTATGCAAACCAACAAGACGTCGTAAAACTTTAAGAGAGGTACAACGATTACTATCTTATTATAACACCCATGATATAAATGTGAAATTTCTTAAGTAATTTGTACTTAATTTTTTAGGTAGCGTCAAAAACAGTATGGTAAGTTTACTTGTATAGTTATATAGTTATTAATTCTATAAAATAACGAATGAAACGGAACGGACGGAGAGATGCTAAGTGACACTTTTAGAGTATTTAGAGTAGACTGAATACTGTTGCTTTCATGATCTGTTAAAATAGTTGTGGAATGTTTATTTCTAGTTTTGATTTATCCAAAAATACAAGATTTGAACGGGTAACGGTAAAAACTAGCAAATCCAAAATATATCAAAATATTAAAAAGAATAAGAAAAAGGTGACTTTTAAAGAAAGTCATAGTAAATGCGAGCTAAATACCACAAATGAGCTACTTAAGTCCATGAACTGTACTGTAGAGAAAGGCAATAATGATTTTCCTAAAAACTTAATGAACACTATAAATGTCAAAAAAGAATTGATGAAATTTGTCCGAGAACCACATGAGAAACTTGTGTATTCTGTTTTTCGTAACAAAATTGAAAATGAAACTGATAATCAGAGACACAGTAAACCTGGTATAGAGAATAGAAAGAACAAGGAACATAAAAGCGCCCGAAACATACAGGCCGCAAACAGTTCAAGTTCATCCACAAACAGCATAGTTACAATTAGACAGTTGTCACCACCATCTCAAAACAAAAAGAAGTTTACATCCAAGATTACCTTAAAAGTAAGTAATATTCCAAAGGCAAGTTCCATGAAGGAAAAACTTAGCGTACCCGAATGTTATAAGAAATCGTCTGTAATGTTTGATGATAAGGAGAACAAACCCCAATCATCAAATGTTAGCAATGTTCAGTGTAACAAAGAAAACACACAAACCGTCAATGAAAGAAGTAAAAGTATTCTAATGTCCCATAATACTATATCTAAACAAAAAAATAAGTCCTTAAGTATCAAAAAGTCTATAGAAAATATAGAAGAGAAACTCGCAGTATCAGATTCGTCGAATTCTAGCAAGGTTTCATCAGTAGAGTCCATAAAAAAACAAATTAATTTCAACGCAAACACATCAAATTTAGTCTTATCTATGGCTTCTTGTAAGAAATCGCTTACTATGGAAAGTGACAAGCTATCTTCAGACCCAGGTTTATCTGAAAATAATCAAGAGGTAGTCCCACTGAACAGTATAATTGAATTAACATGTAAAAAAAATGAAATAAATGTATCAAACAGTACCTCCGATGAAACCGTGTATCATGAAATGATGAATGTTGTTGACGATATGCTCAATTTCATTGACAACTCTGAGAGAAAGTCTATTTTAACTATTGAAAGTAAAAAATTGATTCCTGACGAACATAAGAAAAGCGGTGAAAAGGTTCATTTTTACAACGCAATTGATAATGAATCCATTGCAACATCATTAGATTCAGGACCAAAACAAGTGAATCTAGATTTAATTTCATTTAAATCTTTTGCTTCTTTATCTGGTTATTCAGAATACTTCTTAGCTGATAGTGAATTAAGTACTACGATCGATTCTTTACAAGTAAAGACACCTTCCAAGAGATCATCCGTTCAAGACATATTTGAAAGAAATGACCAAAATCGTCTTTCGGTATGTTTATTTACAAAATTTTATTTATGATATAATAAATTAAACAGTCTCGTGTAATAAATTGACTTGAATCTTCATACAGTTTCCAGGAGATTCAGTACAAGGCTTTAGTGGTTTTTCAATAAATGAACAAGTAATAGGTGATCAGCCAGATTACGCCACTCTAATTAACCCCGAAACGGGAAGTATGAGCCACGTTATGGAAACTAGGCGGGCGGTGAGTGTAATTGTATGCAAAAAAACAAATCTCTTATCTGGCCCCATTATTTGATACCATTTTGTTAACTATTGATTACTTTTAAAAGACATCAGAAGAAGTGTTTACGTCTGGTCGTTCATCGGATACATACGAATCGTGTCAAGTGGACGACGACGCTCTTGTGCCACATTGGCTTTTCCACGCTATAAGCCAGCAGCAATCTGTAAGTTTTTTAATTAAGCGTAAACACAGTGTAACATTTATTCAACTTCCGATGATGTATTATCGTGCAACTGTCACTTGGCACCCTCTTTATTTACTTATTATTTGTTTATAGAATTCAGACGGTATAGTGTTACAAGTAGCGATTTCGTCATATAGTCAAAATAAAGTATTGGGGGCAAGTTTGAAGTGTCGTTTTTCCAGGATGAAGACAGGGAGCCACAGCAAAACCTGTCCCCTATTCCTATGCCTACTGTGGAACCAGACCTTGACCTGCACGCTAACGTTATGGAACCAGGCGTGGGGGGAGTAGGAGGGGCGGCCGGTGCTGGCGCTGGTGACGGCCGCGGTATCCATAGCGACCAGGACAGCTCGGGCCGCGATACGTCGATGAGCTCGACTGAAACATCATCTGGTCAACAAAGCGATGTATGATTTACAAAATGATTATTATTTAAGTTTCATAATATAGTTTCCTAGGATATACTAGTAGCTGATAGGATTCTTCTGAAAGAGGAAGAGAGAAAATTAAAGATATAGACAAAGAACGACATTGTGGATTGGTTTTGAATGTTCTTTTAAACTATTTAATTTTTGTTTGTAGGCAATATTAATCGATCCATCAGCTTACGCCAATAATATCGAGTTTTTAAGAGAGCCCAGTAGTCGTCCTTTCCTTCAACTAGGATCCACCGAGTCTCCGGATTCATCGTTTAGGACAGTAGAAGGTAAGGTGCAGAATATGTAATTTGTCAAAATACATTTCTGGTTGTAATTTGAACTTGAATTTTTCAAATTTAGTTATTAACACAAAAGATGCTTAATAACTTTTTGATACAAAGAGAATAATAAAATATCACGTGCTATTAAAAAATATATAAAGTAATCTAGTTTACTATGTAGACATGTTTTCGCAGCCCACTTTTACAAAAACTTGTTTGCAATGTCATAATAAGTGACGTATCTGTGACCCACTGAGAGGTCAGGCTACAGGAACTATATAATCATAATTATATAATAGTGCTATATATAGCTCACTAGCGCCCCCTGTTAATGACAAATAAATGTCAGAAGATCGTTGGTTCTTACTTTTAAAGCTAAGTAGGTTTTACATATTTTCTGACAGAACATCTCCGTTATGGTAGCGCCGCTCATAGCGGCGCAGAGGGCGCAGGCATATTCGCGAAAACATCGTCAATAAAATTTATATTAAAACTTGTGCATCGCTCCTACCGGGCATAAAATACACCAACAAATCTGATACAGAATTTGTCATATTTTGTAGATGACGTTACGAAGGCGCGTATCGCAAATACTCGTGCTAGGGTCTCGTATAACCTTGTCGCACTATATATGTATAATATAACTTTCGGAATATTATTGTTATTATGTTGTGGATTTTGAGTCATATCGAAATGATGATTCAGTCTTAGTGAGAGTTTAAAAAAAATCGTATTGCACACTACAATTTTATCATTTGATGTTGCCCTGGTTTATTAACTAGTAAACCTGTATTTATTAATTAAGTTTATACAGAATTAGTTTTCAGATATCGTTTATACTAAAATTTATTTGAAACATTGAAAAGATTTGTAATTAACATTATTCCTTAATACAGGATCGGAAAATGACAACTTATTTAATATGAGTGAAATTTCAACGCGGAATAACTTGAATCTCGGAGCAGTACAAAGCGATCGTGATGCTGACGTCAGCTCCTTGGATACGGACACCGCTGACTTCTCTGATAATTAATTTTGTTTTGTTTTGTTTATGTATGTTGTTTAAATTGACAAGATTTTAAGTCATTTTAGTTCAATGCGTGTTTTTGTTTGGTCTGTTGTTAATAAATTAGATTATTAAATTCAAATATCTTTTTATCAAAATGAAATTATATTTATTGATTTAATGAACGCGTCCCTATACCTGGTTATTGCACATCAGTGGTAGATGACAACAAAAACAGCATCTTTTGCATGAATTAGCGTAACAACTGTGAAAGGGGAGGATGGGCGAGAGAGAAATGCCCATTAAATTCTGTTGTTGGCTCCACTTTTCGTGCGCCAATCGTGTATCTACAAAATGTTTCATCGTTTGTGATATAAGAAATGAATACAACACAGTATCGAGGAAATTTCGTTTTTGCATTTATTCATATTGTACAATCTTATAATGACTCATTCTGCAAAATTTTACAGGCGACCAAGAATTCATATATAAAACAGCAACTCCTTTCGTATCGTACATAACCTTTTTACCAGTATAGTGAAAACATGCGTATAGTATTTAGGATAATAAATTACTTAAATACTAACTTTAAGTTTGGTTCTTTATTAATACAATATCAATAGGATTTCACTATTTTGCAAAGTTATTGGAACGCACAAAAAAATGCTATGGTGCTCTCTCGACGCCGATGAACTTTCTATGCTAAATATGCGATCATTACAAATTCGATATAAAATATAATAATTGTCCTAAAGCAAATTACACAGTACAAGGCAGCTGGTACATTCTCGGACTCTGACTTAACTCACTTCGACCAATAAGCTACATTAAGTAAGCGGAGCAAAGTCAGGCGCATTTCATTACATGTTGATTGTATGATAACTTCAATTCTTAATGTTAACAATTTAACTTTGTTAAGGTAATGTTTCTATCAGTACTTCAGTTTTTGTCTACATCTCAATAATCGTCATGGGAAACGAAATGAGTTAAGGCAGTATTTTTATATATTAAAAATTTCGTTACTTGTGTCGTTTATTGCTTTATTAAATTTATAACAAAGTGAAAATGTAATCTATATTAAAACTGATTTTATATGCTACAAAACGAAAATCTCGGTGTGATCTATATTTAAATGAAAAATATACTATTTGGAAACATATTGAAATTATTTAAATTGCGCCTTATCCTGTAGTAGTTATATAACTATTACATCAAACACTTTCATTATTAATTTAAGGCAGTGAAACACCCAACGTAAATCAAGGAAGTTGGGAGATTACCTAGCTAACATTAATATTAACTAGTACATATCACTAGATATTTTCACAGGCGACCTCTACGTAGCGGTCGCGTAATATATTACAATATTTACACCTCTTAAACACGTATGTCGATGCAACACCGTCGTCACTTGCGCTGGAGCCACAAACGCAAGCGGGACGCTCTGTTACTCTGCACCGCTCAGTCATCGAAAGTCCATCGGCCAATGTATCCCTAACACTCCACTCACAAAGAAAAAAAAATCTTACGTTTATACAATAATAATGTAAATATGTAAGATACATGATAAACTATAAAACTACATAGAAGAATTCTAACAATAGAAGGTAACAATTTATATGTAAAATTCTTTATTTAAAAACAATTGAACGAAAAGATAGTTTTGCAGTTGCGGGTAATATAATTAGGGCTAGTGGTTCTGAAGTCATCTCAGTTGTGGTTATAATACGATAGCGATGAAACTCGAATCTCGAATGCTGTTAGACCTCAAAGCGATAGGTCAATTCAAATACTGAATTAACCTCAGAGCCTTATTGAATATAAATTATCTTTATTAGGATAAAAAAAGGATTAAATAATATGTAAATAAATGAAAAACAAAACATCTCGAAGCTTAAATACTTTGTACTATTAACAGAGGTAAAATATAAAAGAGAAACACATTTAAAAGCTATCATAAAAACTCGCTCATGGTCACCATAACTATTAACAACAGCCATAATATGAGAGTATTCATTATATTCAAATCGACTAATAAAATCACTACTATTACAGACGTCTGCTTTGAACAAATGATCGTAGCGACTTTGATTTCACGCAATACAATAAAAATTATTTGAACTTTTCGATATTAATTTTAAGGCAAACGGTTTACACTAATGATTGTCGTAGAAAATCTTGGAAAAATTATAGATATGTGAATTACAAAATATTACAAAGGTACACTATAAGACCCTTATAATAATGAGATCAATGGATCAATTTAATTAAATTTAACAAATAATCACGCATTAAACTTTTCAGGTACTAGTTGTATTAAAATGTATAATATTGCTTAAGATTTTTTTCACTTATTACTAATATTACATTTTATTAATGATATTTCTTGAATTACTGATAAAATGGAATGAAATCATGCACATTTTGGCGACTTTCGGTCACATTTTGTAAATTCATAAAGGTCAAAAATTAGAAATAAAAAATAAACGTATTACCATATTTGGTAGAATAAAATCTTATAGAAAAAAGTTTAGATATAAATAATATGATATAGCATGTAAAATGCAAGATTAAATTAAAGTGAAGGTCAAGCGTTTATCATAAACGTCCCACCAATTTTTGATTTATTACTAGTTCTTATAAGAAATAAACTTTTCATATTAAATAGAAAATGCATGCGATAGTTTCCAGGAAATAATCTTGTTTATTATTCGTCGTCACTATTATTAATATAATTTAATAGAACTTCAATGTATTATTAAATCGTATAAATTGGTGTCTAGCTAATTATTAAAGTGCAAAATATTCAATTCAACGCCCTAAATTTAATCAAAGTCGCCAGAACATTATATCTAAATATCGCACAGCGCCATTGACAAATTAACTTTCCTATGCAATCACACTGTTCTAATAATCATTCCCATTTTCCACATTTTATCACAGAAAATTATGTATTTACAATTTTGTCGTAATAAAATGACGTACGTATTCTACGGATAGCAGTTCAACAATGTTCACTTTACCTCGTGCGTACACTATTGTATCAGGATGGACGTGCTTATTGAAATAAACATTATAAACTTAGTACAGCTATTCCCGAGCATATGCTTTGAATATTTTACATAATACTTATTCAAAACACTGACGAATATTCAACAGATTTTGTGTATAATTACTCAATAACAAACACTTAACTCGGAGACATGTTTCATTGCATTCCAATTAAATGTAACTTAAATATTTTTCGCATTTTTTTTTCTTTTACATTTCTAATTATTACATTTTGTACTCTTTTTTTTAATAAAGTCACAAGAACGTTTAAAATTAAGCTATAAAAATGATACAATAGATGGGCTCGAGGTAATCTATTAAAATTAATATGACAATGTATTTTGCCTTATCTTATGACTTAAAGTGTAATCGCACTGAGAATCTGATCATCACTTTATTGGGAAGTATAAATTAGAATAACATTTTTGAAGCCGTTAACCAATTTGATACAAGTTTTTATTAGATTTTGTGCCTGGCGATTATTTATTAAAATATTTATTTCAAAGAGACGTTATATGATCAAAATTTGTAATTCTTTTATGAAGTTTGAGATATGAAAACAAATAATTTATGTTGCAGTAAAATATGGTAAATGGACAGAATTTAATAGATTTTAAGAACGATGTTAATATCAACCAGGCTACAAAATCTTTCTTATTTCTATAAATATTGAACAAACAAGTAGCGACTTATAACAGATTTTTGTCACATTTGGTTTTGCCGAGGTTTATTTTTATTTAGTTCTATATTGTAAAATGATTATAAGAGCATTTATTAAGTGAGGTGTGCTGTGTAAATAGTGATAAACAATGTAATAAGTTTGTAACAAAAAACTTTTCATTTCATCTATATAAACTTAATCACCAAATGTAACAAAATAAAACCTGCCTATTGATTGGCCTACACACGATTTAACAATTTACTTAATATGTAATTTAATGTTGAAATACATTTTCGAAGATTACATATAATCCATAATATTTAATTGTATTTTAAATTTAAACAACGTAGATATAAAGCACTCGGGGGAAGGACAGCAAATACAATAAAAATGTTTATTTATTTATTTAATATAATGTTAACTAAGTAAAAATTATTTGCTATGTAAATATTTTATACAACACTAGTGGTAAATTGTTCGACGATGAATTACTAGTGTTCCTCCAACGTCTAACGAAGGCGAAACGCTGGGGGCGAAGGCCGGGAAGCGCGCGCGCCCCGGACCCCGAGCCGGGCGTTTCGGCAGGCGATATATAATGTAGATTTATATAGTGCAAATTTAATATAGAAAGTTTACTTTTACAATACAGACTAATAATTTCATTTTATGTAAAAATCCTAGCGCAAACCGAGTTGCCTGGCACTGTATTATACAACGATTATCTTAACCGTAATATAAATTAAAGAGTAAAATTTTAGCGAATTAAAAATTAAATTTTCCAAAACTTTGTAAATACTAGAATTTGGATTTAGCTCATGGATACACGGCGCCGGCGGTCCAGTAGAGACGTCCAAACTCCTGAGCAACGAGAGTCGTCTATCTGTACAAATGTTCACACGTTCGCCGGATACAGACGAGATCGTCCTAACGCGGGAGGGGCCGGGGAGGGGAATAGGGGAGAGAGTCCGGCGGTGCGGCGAGCGCGACGCTTCAGAAGGTGTGCGCGTGCGGCGCCGCGTCGGCAAGCCGTGCCCGCGCCGCGCGCACGTCCCGCTGGGAGCGCGCGCGGCCGCGCTGCTAGCACCAGTCATCCTCGTCTGAGTCGGAATGACGCGCGCGTGGTTTGTACCCGTTGGGCAACCGCGGCGCTGGCACCGGCGAGGGCAGCGCCCGCGGCCCCGCGCCGCGACCCATCGCCAGCGCCGCCTCGTACGAGAGCGGCGCTTCGTACACTCTCCCTCGCTCTGACTCGTAGCCCCTGCCACGTCTGCAACATGATTCGTAAAATGTTAAGTTATCGACTTCTGAGGCAGGGTGCACTAATTTCATGCACTGTTAGAAAATGAAATGCTGGGTATAGCTTTTTCCACATAGAGGCTTGGCTAAGAGATGCCATGATGAAACTACTGCAAAATTTATAGATTGTGCACTTATGATAACTAGTGTACATACATTCAAGAGTCAACTTTCTCACCATAGTCTTTAAAATCCGTAAGCCAGGTTTTAATTTATTGGGAAATACATTTAAGATATAAGCGATTAAAAAAAAAACTAAAATTGGAGAATTTACCTTTCCCTAGATCTATAATCTCGGTGTATCAGTCTTTCAACTTCTCGACCATACTCATACTCATCGTGTAGAGGCTCTACAGGTTCTCTGACCGTATGTCTTAACGATAACTGAAAACAAATCATTACATTAAATATCAATGATGGCGATGTCAATATTTAGCATTAGGTTATCGATAGTTACGTGAGATGGACTGTGGCTGATTCTTGTGAAGGGTTGCTGTTTGACCTGCAGCGTGGACGGCTTGGTGGGCGTGGGTGGCAGCTGGCGGCCCCGGCCGCGGCGCGTACCCTCGCGCTCCCACGACCGCTCGCGCCACTCACGCCACTCCCTCTCCCGCTCCCGCTCCCGATCTCGCTCACGATCTCCAACTATGGGTGCCCAAACTGTTCTTTGAATAATTTGGACGTTCTTTCTTATGGTAATACGCATTGATAATACTAAATGAACAATGTAATTCGATTTTCCAGTAATCCGATTTAAATACAATAAATCAACGATCGAATTTGAACGAACATTTTTTGAAACAGATGTGCAAACAATTTTCTTATCTAGATTGCCACCCTTCGTTTAATAAGCAACCGTTTCTTTCGCAAATGCGTACGAAGCCAATCTTTATAATAGTGTCATATTAAAGCATAAAATAAACAGATCAATAGCAAAAGGTCTTGAATTTGTTTTATAGGAAAAAAGCCAAATTATACACTAAGTCAGACCTTTTGCTTTACAATATTTTATTTCCTGATAATTTTAAATCAAATTGAGGCACAGTTTCTATTTTAAAACAATACAGAGTAACGACGATTTCGAGTTAAAGTATTTGCAATGTCGAGTGAACAGATATGGTATAAGAGTGATTTAAAAGCGAGCTCGAACTGAACAATACATTATCGGTGTCAGAACATAATTAGGTCGCAGCTCTGTCGCAGAGCCGGCAGAGACGTGAAGCGCATTGCGTGTCGTTAGTGGTGAGGTGTCCGATATGTGTGGTGGCGTGGCGTGGCGTGGCGAAGGCGAGTGGATCTCACCGTAGGTGTGGTGTGGCGGGCTGGGAGACCGCGAGGGCAGGCTCAGGCTGGTCGTAGGGTGCGGCGGCCTCCACTCCTTCCCTGCCGTCAGGAATACCTTCATGTACCTCCACGCTTTACCCTAAGCCCGTCGGTCAAAACCCGACCAAATTTTCTTGCTCACAAAGGTGACTCTAAAAGTTTTGGGTGTCTGTCGAAGGTGGTAAAAGAACAGAGGTCGTAGACACGGAAATGGAAAACCAAGGATTGGATTTCTTGCTTTGTATGGAATAAGTTGTGTGTCCAAATGTTGTTATCCATTTTGTTTTGACAATTTTTGTTATAATACTATACAATATTTTAGGAAATATAAAGGTCTCTAAGTTATCTACATAGAATATACAAATCTGAACTATTTAATTTTTAAAGCTTTTACATGCTGCATGAATAGTTTTGTATAACTTAAGTACATGCGCTTCAGGTTTTGTTGCTTTAAAATTTATATATACCAAAGCCATTTATAGAAGGTGCAAATATATTTATTACTCTATTATATAATTGTTCATTGGGCACCAAAATAGTTTCAGCATGCAGCAGGCAAAATAATTTCAATTATGTTTTTCTAATTTGTCACGCAATTCCTTTACAAATATAAATAACAATATAGTAAATTTTGAGGGAAATATTAATATTAAATTTAAAATCAATTATCACTTATTCTACATTTTGACAACAGGATTCTGATCAATCAGTATATTACATCTAACAATAAACATTTAGCATATGAAAGAGCAATTGTAGAATAGAACTAAAATTTAGCTACTAAGGTTTTAACAAAACTAGCTTTGTGAAATGTTCAGTATAGCTATACATAACCTAGCTATGTTATACAATCTAAATCTAAATTTACCAACTTATATTATAATAGCACGACGTCTTCAATCGTCGATCTTATAAACTACATCTACAACATGACTATCTACGTCTACTGTTAAGCTAAACTTCTCGTCTTCTCACAAAACTTTCAGAGTACCTTCATGAGAAGAAAAATGTTTGCAAAACTGTTTTTTTTTATCGATTATTTCGAAAGCGAAAATGAATTGTTATGCTTAATCTAGTTATTTATATGTGAATCAAACTATATGAGAGTAATTGTTATAGATTGTTAATATATACACAGCTTAGGATTCTAATTTTATCATGGATATATTATTATTTATATGTAGTTTGCAGTAGCATTAAGCTAGTTAAGTTAATCTGCTGTTATAAACTTTATAGCAGATTCACGATGATCCCTGGAGTTACAATCTGGTATCAACTAGCAATTATTATAGCTAATTATTGTATTCCACCTACCATGAGGATGATAATGGTGCGGTGGTCGATGCGTCCGGCCGTGCCTCTGATGTTCGTGCTTGACAATCTCGACGACGTTATTAACAGTGTCGGAGAAACCGATATCGTGATGATAGCCTCCGTAATGGCCACGTCTCCGTGGGCTCGGAGTCCGTCTGTGTGTTTTTAAATTGTTTAATAATAATTGAAGATTTCCAATTAACGATACTTACCAGAATCCGGTTAAAATAAAAACGATTAACACAATGCAATATAATAAAGTATTAGTAACGTATTAAAGGAAAATTAAACGCGACAGCAAACACAAACATTCAGACTATTTAAACGTAATTTCCTCTAATTTATTAGTTGTTCTGTTCCATCACTCAAAAGTAGTTACTTATGTTATTTTAATATATGATAAATTATAAAATGCAGGATTATACAACCAATGAAAAAAGATATCAAATAGATAGTGATTAATGACTATCATAGTGAATTTAAATTTAGTCATGCTGTAAGGACCAGGCATGTTAGTACTTTTGATGCAGTTATGTTCCAACTTTAATTTGAACGAAGTATGTGAAATATTTCTTTATCCTTTAATACCAATTTATAGTTAAGATTATATTTTCTTTGTTCCACGTGCATATCATAACTATTATCGTAAATTATTGTGCCCTAACTTCCATTATGTCGTGTGAGTTGAAACTTCGTTCCCAAAAAACCCCGCATGCCTTAGTTACAAATATATTAAGTCATATTAATACAAAAATGATTACTTTTGACCCCTTATAAGGTTTGGACCAAGTGGACATACCCGTGCCTCGACACTACAATTTTCACCTGGGTCATACTTTGGATGTCACTATAAATGAAAAAAAAATCATAAAAACTAAATCGCTAATTAAAAATTAAATAAAAAAGATAACCAACGAACCACATTTAACCCTTATTAGCCTAGAGTTTCAATTTTGATACCAATCTTTTAAACCGAATGTTCACATTACTATTAGTTTTTTTATAGGTTGGCTGTACCTATTTTACTGTAGTATAATATTATTTCCAACGAAATTTAAAAAAAAAAAAAACAAATTTCATTATTGTTTTATTTTATCAAGCAAACACAGTAATATTAAAAATAAAACACTGTCGTATGTAAATCAGGCTACTAAGGGTTAAATACGCTTATTAGGTACCTCAGACTTGATGATCTCCCGTGGTGTCCGTTTTGGTAAGCATGTGGCGGTTGTAACCTTGCTTCGTCTAAAGATTCCATAGACGCATGATGCGATCCAACATCTTGTAGTTCCAATACCTAAAATTATTAATAGATCAGCTTATCGTTCTTTAAAAAGCAATCATTTTAAACGATACGATGTCTAATATATTCACGTCAAAACTTACTGTCCCATATTTACAAAATCTGCATTAAATCACAACACCAACTAACACCAAGTGTTATGCAAAACATGCAATAATAAATGCATTGCGTGCTTCAGGCACTAACATCGATTACGTACTTACCTAATACCTCAGTGCTATCAAAAGATAATCTTATAAAAAAACATGCATTAAAATCTATAAGTAATCATTCCATGCAAAATATTTTCATATATCTAATTGATTTTTTGTATTTGTTACTCAGTACAGGGCAATGACTGTTATGTGGAAGTGTTAGTGTACCAATTCTGGAAGTGCTCTCTAAGAAATCAATAATCATAGTTAATTCATCAGACAGTAAAATACATTTTACATCCACATATTTTGTAGAAATCACTAATTATTAAAAAAAAAAGTTATTATCTATCTTCTACAATTTCATAATAAAAAGTGTTAACCCTATTATTACTGATATTTTTACCTAAATATCAACAACCATCTGTAAATTTGAAAAAATTAATAAGTATTTTTTTACACACAATCTATTATATCGTGGGTCTAGGCCCCTAACTAGCGTCATTTACATAAAAACTTAGCCTAAATTGTCATCAAATCTTAGCTAATACAAACAATATTTAATACCATTAAATTTAAACTTTTAACTAACAAAACATCGATACAGCAGTTCTCTAACATAAAACAACACCAACTATCTATGACAAATGGAATGCATCCGTATGTTTTTAACAACCGACACACCCAGTAGCAGATACGTTAAGAAATGAACATCTTTAACCCAGAACATTAGAAAGGCAAATTATTAACTTAGATTCCAATCATTGCAACGTTGATTCAACATTAGTTAAGTATTAATTTTGATAGTGATTAATGTTTTTATTTTATTTTTATTTATTGATAATGATAATGATCGGGTCAATATGTTCAACCTTTCAGAGCAATTAGTCACCTTTTTATTGTTCCTGAAACAAAAGAAACATTCGTTAATACCGCAATACTTCTCAATATAGAACATTATAGATTTTGGGTCTAAAACTTGAATGATAAGGTACCAATATGAATAAAAATCCAGATCTTTTATTGAATAACTATAATAGTGTTTTGATAGTATTAAGAATAAACATTTCTTTAAATAGCGAACTTAAAAAAATAGCTAACAGTTTAGAGATTTACCAACTCACTTATGCTAAGTTAGCGCCTATCATCTTTGGACAATAGTTAACATTATGTGGGATGTACTACATTATCTCATTCAAATTGGTACAACTTACTTGAAAGATCTTCTGGTGCTGCGCCTTGCGAAGTTGGCTAAAGTGTGAGGATCTTCTGGATGGCTTTCGGCGGTGGTAATGAGAGGTCCTTCTTGACTGAGGGAGCCTGTACGCGATCCCGGCGCCATCCCCGCGGCCACGTCCAGCAGGCAGTTAAAGAAGGACGCCTTCTGCACCACGCACCCCAAATCACGCACCCACCCCAATACAATCCACACTTGCGCATTCTCATGTCACTCCATGTATGATGTTCTCGATGACAATATTCTAACGCCTAAAGCCTACATGAGTTTGCGCAAACATTTCTTACACCATGTCCATGCTGGAGTTCTTTTATTGGCAATGTGTATAGTTTTGTGTGTTTGTAAAGTGTAAATAGAATTCCAACGAATGGACAGTATCGGCAGTAAAGACAAAATGACAGTCATCCCTGTTATGAAAATGAACGCAGCTAGAGGCATCTGAGAACACAACTGTTACATGTTTAAAGTAGACGTGTTGAAATTGTCCGTGATATTTGTTCTGAAAGTACAAGACATTGAAACGAAAGAAAAACTGAAAATGAACAAAACTTTAAGGGACATAAAACGTAAAAGCATATTTGGTGCCAAATTTGTAATTGTGTGCATTTTTTGAAGCCAGAGAACGTTTTTTGTGGTGCAAGAAAAAGCTATTCTTTTTTAATTTTTGCATAGCTTTATTCTCAGCATGCATTTGCGCCGAATAAATTTAAAATAAATAAATAACAAAATATTTTATCAGGACTAAACATAAAAACGAGTAACAAGTAATTTTTATATTATAATATAATAATTTTAACAGGCTTCTAAATCCGTGTTTGAGCCAAGATGTAATTGCAAATAGTAGTTTTAGTCTACATAAGTGCCACTGAATATTCTGTAGGTAACATGTAGTTGGGACATGCACAAACCTCTAACTCATTTGTTTAACTTAAAAAGAAATACTGAAAAGAATATTAATAAAAATTGGGCATCAAGACAGTAGAAGCATAAAATGGAAACTGTTACCACACAAACAAGAAATACATTAGACTACAAAACAACTCTAACACTACAAGAAACCAACTCCAAACAACTCATCACACGAACACATTTTCTAAATACTACCAATTTTGCAACTATAGGACAGGTCTCTAATTTGTGGTTTACGATGCCCTGAATTATTTATAGACAATATTGTACTAAATAAGCACAAAATTGTCTAATCCAAAATGGAAAGTGCGTTTTGACTAAATCTATTTAATAATTATTTCGTTCACTAAACTACTAGATTAATAAATATTATTTTTTTAATATTTTGTACCATTATGTCTTTATGTCCAGTACAATAAAATTGTTATTTATTCAAACAAGATGCGATAAAGTTAGAATGATAAAAAAAATATATGAGAAAAACTAGTACAGTGCAGGAAAAGTTAAATATTCGTTCCTTAAAGTTTTAAATACTACCGGCTGATTGGCCGTAGGGCTATTCTCGCTGAATGCCTGAAAAGTAAACCACCAATGTAGTCGACTCGATGGAGTCGAATAACTAAAGTGACTTTGTATTGTTGTTCGTAATTTTCTAACATAGTAAAAGGGCCAATCGACAGTTAATACATTTAAGAGACGGTAGTTAATCAAAAAGAACATCGATCACAACAATACATCCACAGGAAGACAACACAAATTCTAGTTAACTAGCTATTATATGGTTATTCATTAACTAAAATATAAGGAACAATTAGGGGATATTAACAAACACTACTCTCAAAAGTGTAGTTAACCTACCCACTTAAACTTACATTTGGCTCAAAGTTACCATATCTGTGCAGTTTTATACAATCAATAGCCAAACAAATTACTCTGGCTTCTTTAAGAACTACCAACACGACGAACTTGTAGTGTCTAACTTCAACATAAGAGGTAAATACGGTGCGTAATAAGTTTTCTAATACAATTTCTTACCGGAACACCTTGTGGCTCTGTCTGACCAAACCTAGTTGACCTCCAGCTCTCTAGAATTAGCAAACCAGCGTAGATCTTCCCCACAGTCAGTTTCCCAGCGTTTAGAACATCGTTGCGAGGCACCAGCAAATCTAACATCTTCTTCGCTTGGAGTGGCCAAATCTGTGTTATCGTTTGTCTTAATTCCTGGTCCGCTTGATCCATTTCTTCAGCTTTTAATAAAAATATAATTATATTTTGGCTAATATAAAAAAAACGTTCAAAATTTAATATTTGTTTGCTTACCCGATCTCATTTTAATATTAAGATTTTCTCTTATTAAGGCAAAAAGCGTTGTTGTAAAATTCACTTTCCCCTCTTCATCCAGTGGCATGTTCATTCGTATTAATTTTTTATACGCTAACCTATTTGGACATTTATTACCAAACCCCAAGGGCGGATCCATATTCTTTAGCATATCATACATTTCTGTGTAATGGATCTTCCCTCTGGCAAAAAAAAGAAATTACGTCATAAAAAATCTAACACTGAAATATATTTGATATACAATTTGTTGTTTTTATAAGTAATACATACGTAGCGTTTGGGTCGTACTCGGCCCATATTCTAACAAATTCATCGAGATGATGAGCTCCTAATATAGACGAGTCTCTCGTTAAATAATCAAAGTTATCCATAATAACGGCAACGAATAAATTTAACATCTGAAAAAAAAATCAAAACATGTTATAGAGGAAGAGGATACAAAGTGAAATACATTGTATACTTACAAGAAAAGAACAGAAGAATATGAAAGAAACGAAGTATGCGTAAGCTAAAGTACTGCCACACTCTTCCTGTGGCGGCTTGCCGGCTTTTTCATCACATTTAGCAGGCTTCAAACAATCCAACATAATGTTGGGCCATGACTCTCCTGTCGCACATCTAAGTACAAACAAATGAGGTAAAATGTTTAGTTCATTTGTTATGGCCAACCAAGTAACCAAATGCGCCTGTTGGTTATTTTAGTATAAATAATAAATCGAATATTACCTGAATAATAACATAAGGGCCTGTATAAAACTTTGAAAGTTATTATGTCTATTCATAGCTGTTTCCGGCGCATTTTCTATGTTACCGAACACCTGTAATTATATTATAACAAAAATAAACTTTAATATTTCTGCCATTCAACATGTGTATTGGGAAAATTTTGAGTATATAGTAAAATTCAATGGTTACCATTGGTTTCTGAGGCAAAAATATCTGTATAAATATATCGTTATCTCTGTCATTGTATTTGACATAACATACATAATAATATTTTTTAAACGTGGATTTTGGTATCAGAAACCCGTTGTTAGTGACATTTACCTGCATTCCAATAATAGCGTATATGAAGAAAAGCATTGCGATGAGAAGGCACACGTAGGGTAAGGCTTTAAAACTCTGCACGAACGTCCACAGTAGTATTCGTATGGTGTAACCCTGTCGGAGCAGCTTGATCAGTCGCGCGGCTCGGAACAGGCGCAAGAAACCAACGTTGAACGTATTCTCCTGGAATTTTTTTACAATACTATTATCATATTTATACCTAATTAGTTGATTTCCCAAATCCCTTGTTTCAATATGTTCCGTTTTCGCAATTCGTTGTTGCTGGGTTCATTAAAAATTGTTTCTACCGCTGCAAGAGCCGAGTGAATGGCTTTACAGGATTTATAAAATTATTTCGTGTTTTTAATTACGCATATTTTCGATTAACAAATTATTATAATATTAAATAATCTGAATTAACTAGACTTACGCTACATACAAGAATAAATACAATTCATTTATGTATCACAATATTATAAATATAGAGAGATCAAAATGTATAAAAAAATAAAAAATATCTTGGCTTGTATCTACAAAGTTCAATGATTCTGATAGATTTCGGTACTTGAGAATTACTTTCTTATTTAAATACTTCATTTGAGAATGATATGCAATTCACAAAGGCTAGATCTAGGCTATATTTAAAAACACGAAGAAAGTTATCCTAGAACAAAGATTTGATATTGTATTTTCAAAATGAAATTTTATAATTTGATATGTAAAATAGTTTCGATAAACTGGACACTTAAAAAAATCCCAGCGATCAATAAGTTTAAATATAAGTTTTAAATTATTTATATAATACAAAAATTGGAAACAAAAATTTGAGTATAAATAATATTTCAACGTTTAGCCAAAAGAGACTAAGTGAATTGCAAACGCAACAAAATGCAAGTTAAAGCAATAATGATTTAGCAAAACTACAATAATATGAGTAGTATATTACGAAACAACATTATATATCTATCATTCTATCACACGTTACTAAACAATATTTAATATGAAGCTCTATAGTAGACGATCGACCTGAGTATTCAAACACACTTACAAACTAATCTATAATTATCTAAATTTCCTAAACGACGTTATCTTTAACAAACTTTTACGAAAATTCAAAGATGTAGCAATTACTAATTAGCGAATAATACTTTCTATGTTCCTTATTCATAGGACATTCGTTTTTAACAATAATATCTAAACAACCTCAAATACTTAACGAATAAATTTCATCTGTTACTAATAGTCTTTAATCTAGCACTACCAATTGTTATTCCGTCTCAAAACTTCATCTAAATTCGATACAAATCGGATTCAATTACTAGACTAAAAAAACCTAGCAGTCGTATAGATTAAACTTTTACCTGCTGACAGGATATGTCAGCACAGTTTTCTGCAAGGTCGCTCTGGAATAAGGATATATCCTGTATATAAATTCCGAAATCAAATTGAAAAACAATAGATGTATAGGCCACTGTTATACATAGAATTTTTGATACCGTGAATTTCCAGTACCGAAATGAATTTACAAAAACATATTCATCTCATTTATTGTGCTTGAAAAAACAGAGATAACAAGTTTTTGAATATTTTTTTCGATAGTGGAAACTTAATCAAAACACAAAATAGTATACTTACGCCAAACTCCATTATAAGAGCGTCAATGATGCTTCCAATGACCGTAATGAAATCAAAAATATTCCATGGGTCTTTGAAAAAATTCTGCAAACATAATATAGAACATTATGAATTTATCACAAAAAATATTTTTTTTAATTACTGAAAAAACACAACTGTATTTTTTTATAACATGAAAAGATTTATACATTAATCAAACATGTTTTTAATCCTATCCATTCGAGAACCATTAGTAGGCAATACGAAAAGTTTTCTGATATTAAATATTTTAAAAAACATTAAAAAATTGTACCTGTATACAAATGTACGCTTTCTGTATTAAATAAAACAACGTAATCAGGAGAAAACAAGGATGGGACGTGGAGATTTCTCTCAAATTTAATTATTAATGAATCTAAAGAAAGTTAAAAAAAAATCTAGGCAAAACGTATTAACGTGAAACTGTAAAAACTAGAAAAAAAAACTTGTGTTTTTAAAAAGCGGCATTTCAAATCGATCATAATTCTAGTCTCATTCAAGTCAATGTTGAATTTGTAAAGCTAAACTAATTTAATTTTTAAAAATGTGTACTTAAGTGGCAAACACTACAATCGCACATTGAGTAAAAATTCGCATTCATTTAAAAAAAATAAGTCAATATTTTTTTACTCATAGGGTGATTGATGTTGTTACACAGAATTTTAATAAATTCATAACTTAATAGTAATAAAATTCCGCGTATAATATAGCTTATTAGATGCTTAAATTAAAAAAAAATTGTCACAAACTCTTACCGTACATCCGAAGGCAATGAGCTTCAAAACGGTCTCGAGTAGGAAGAAGAACGTAAAGACGATGTTCATGAATGTTAACGTGTCCATGAGTACTGGTGGAGCCTCGTGAAACTACCACAAATCAACACCAACATTTTTTAATGACTTATAAAGTCAACATTGCAGCTAAGGCCCCTTTTACACAAGCACGACTCTATATGCACACGATTACTATTTCTATTAGTAATACCATTTCTACAGACTACCATAGAAATAGCAGTATCACGTGACTAGTCGCGTTGTGAGTCGCTTAGAGTGCAAAAGGGGTCTAAATGCTAAAGTACTATCTATACAAATAACAAATATAAAATGTCTTTTAGCGTTTAACTTGTGTCGTTCTGATATATATCATACATCTATCTTGCTGTTTTATATATATAATAAACAAAAAAACATTAGTCACATTATGTAACGGTTGTGTGTATTTGTGTGTTTTGTTTTTGATCGAATTATATATGAGCCAATAGTTGTGTAGTTTGTGGCTAAGTGGGTGCACGTGCTTCATGCGAAGCCGACATATAAACATGCTTAGTTACAACAAACACATATGTATTTCCAAGATATGGCGGATGTTGAAAGCGAAACAATTCACACAATAAACATAGTATTTCTCGACAGATATACATACAATTTTTAACTCAGAAATGATAAAAAAATACATCGATCACTTACCTTTAATAATCTCGTATCACGAAATTCTGAACATAAGCATTTAATTACAGTTCATATTAGTTATAGCATTTGTAAATATATGGTGTACTTGATAGGACATGCTTTATTTAGGCAAGGCCATGCTCAGATAATGCGTCGATAGCATTTAATGTAAAATTAAATATATTTAGAGAGAAACCAGTAGAGGATGCTCGGAAAGGAATGTCGTACGACCGAAAATAATTCCATACAGTCATGTTGATAGTCGAAGGAAAGTGTACATTTGTATTGGTATTTGTAACATAATTGCAATTTATTTAACAAATGAATTGTGTCAGTTGATCAAACTGCTTTCGTGTACTTACTTTGACACCGTAAGCGATGATTTTCAACACTGTTTCCACGGAAAACATTCCAGTAAACCCCATATTCGAATACTTGAGGATATCCGAGTAGAGATCATTTTGATTATAGTACTGCCATTTTGTGATCGCGTTTCGGGGATGCCCAATAAAAATACATTTATGTTACTTGAAATTAAGTAAATTGTATGATTTGATTGTAGGAAAAAGTATGATTGTAAAGTATGGAATTGTAAAAGAAATGTAGGTAACTTATTAAAATAAAAATCAACTTAAAAAGGGAATGATCTAAATGGTACTGATATAGTGCTGATTTGGAGTAACCATTTATTTAAAAAAAAAAGTAAATAGAAGTTATGTAGGTATGGTCTTATATCTATGCTACAAATTGAAAAAAAAAAAAACAAAATTCACCATGTTTAGTTGACACATTTTTATTAAGCGTCAAATAAATCTGAACTAAAGCGTTGTACCTAATCATGTTTTATTAATTGTAATTTTAATAATGAATTTAAGCGGCCCATATTCACGAAATAGTACTTCGAAAGTCCTGTCGCTCTACACACATGCACTTACGTTACACTGAGACATTTAGTTTGGAAATATCATGCAACACGAACAACATCGATGGCGCGCATGCCGCGGCCATACAGAACCCCGAAACGATGTGCGTTACAAGCACCACAATATAAAATAGTGTTATCCCGATGTGCCGTGAATGTGCATATACTTTTCGATATACCGTGCATTATTTAATAAATACATATATTAGTTACAGCAAGCAAGGAGACACAAAAAAGAAACACGTAACAAAAGACAAAAATAAAAAAAAATAAAAACAAATAGTCCTAGCTTACAATGAAGGGATAGGCTAGGATAGATTTTTGAAACACGGCGCATTCCATTGCAGTTGTGTGTGATTTGCCCATATAAATGTAACGCGATGTCTTTTGTGTGTGTGTTGGTGTATGATAGTGTATGTGATGTAGAGAATAATAGGCAGTACTAGCGTTTGCCAATTCGTATTTAAATTTATTCGATGACAGTATGGAAAAACAATATGATTAGGAATTAAAATACACATATACGAAATTGTTAACATTTAAATAGTGCTTGCAGACATTCTAACGATACGTCACATAGATTGCCAAGCCAGAGAGGTATTTATGAAATGATTTATTTAAAAAGTTTATTACTCTCTAGTAAGGCTTAGTGCGGACTGACATACAACACATATAAATACCAACTTGGATACTAATCTAATTTGTTTATGTGCTTTGTGATTTCGACACTTCTTTTCTGTTTCTACCTCAAAGTGTTAGTGCTTTGGTAGTTCTGTTTCCTGTTATACTTAAACTGTCGTATTGTATCATGATCATGTTAAATACTATAAGATGACTTATTTATTTTTTATATATAATTTTAATGTATACATACCTTCATCATGAGTAATAATGTGTTAAGGACGATGAGAGTCATGATGAAGTACTCAAATGGTGTAGAGACGACTATCCTCCACACTTTGTACTTAAAACTTCCTCGTTTACTTGGCATATACCTTTCAAGCGGACGTGCTTCTATCGTGAAATCGATACAAGATTTCTGTAAAAATTAAAAAAAACATTATTTATGTTAACAATTAATCTTAAATTCATTTGTTGTTCATGAAATATGTACCTGATTTTTATCGATTTCACCATCTTGTAATTCGGCTTCGCCCTGCTCTTGAAATGTGATAATTATAAGAGCTACGAATATATTAACAAAGAAGAACGGAAACACCACAAAGTAAACAATATAAAATATGGACATTTCTATACGAAAATTTTGTATGGGTCCCCTGTCTTCATACGTTGCCGCCATTGAGTTTTGCAACACCCTGTAAGAAATATTACGATTGGTTATACAGCAACATAAGATTATAAAGTCTCCTACTGCATAATCTGTGGCACTAACAGTAGGTATTAAGTTATTATGATAATAAATTGGCATATTTTATGATGATGAGAGTACTTGTTCTCTGATTTTATAGGTTTCGTAAAAATGTAAAACTTACTGTGGCCATCCTTCTCCAGTCTGTACGGCGAAAAGCGTAAGCATCGCAGTTGCTACGTTGTCGTAGTGGAAGGATTGCGTGTCCCACTTCCGCTTCACTACGCGCGGGAGAAGGCTGTTCGCCTCATAGACGAAATACGATCCTCTGTGGAAACAGGGGTAATTTATTACTAATTATCATCATTTCAAATATTTAGTATAACAAACGAGTTTATAAATTTTTTCGAGTTTATGCTATTTTACCTCATTGTCGAAGTTACTGATAAAATCTTGAATTAAGAATATGATTAGTTCACGAACTTAGTAACAACTTATATTTGATGAAATAGCCCATAAATGATGTTTACTCAAAGAAATTAAAAAAAAATACTTACTGGCAGTCTTGAAGAGTATTCTTACTTATATCGTTGCAGTTAAAAAATTTACCATTAAAAAGTTGAACTGCGATTACAGCGAATATAAATTGAAACAATATGTACACTATTAGAATGTTAATGACATTTTTCAAAGAGTTTACGACACAGTCAAACACTGCTTTTAACTTTGGAACACGTTTTATAGTTTTCAACGGTCTAAGCACTCTTAACACTCTTAACGATTTGATTGTTGACAAATTCTGTCCTGCCCCTTTTTTCACACCCCTGGAACAGGAAAGACATACATTAGAAAAAGTAACAAGCAAGAACCAAAGGCGAAAATCCCGTTAAATCATTCATTTTTGATAATAGTATCATCATCATCAGCTCACTATACGTTCCCATTATGGGGCTCGGAGCCTATACTAAATTAGGAATGACTAGGAGATAGTTAACCACGCTATCCATGTGCGGGTTCCTCGACTTCATACATATCTTTAAATTTCTTCACAGATATTCGTAAAAGCTTCCCAATGTTTTCCTTCACCGTAAGAATTGGTCATAGTATTTAATGTTTGTTATATTTATTGATATATTATCAAGGATTAAAGTAGTTAGTGAAGTTACCCGATTTCAAAACCGAAGCTGACAAGAGCGCAGATGACGACGGCAGCATCCATGATGTTCCACAAGTCGCGGAGATACGCGCCCGGGTGGAACAGGATGCCGAGGTCGACAATCTTCAGCAACATCTCCACCGTGAAGACACCAGTGAACGCGTAGTCGAAGTAGTTCAAGATCTTATTTCTAAAACATAAAAAAATATAATTTGTGTTAACTAAAAAAAGCGTAACGCAGAAAGATGCAATAAGAATGAGGATTATGGGCTTTGTTAATTTTAAAAATTAACGAACCCATATTATATTACCATATTTTCACTACTTCTAAGTACCCGGATTCTAACTTTATTAATTCTATGTATGATAAAGAAAAATAATTAAATTTAACTTCATCATCATCATCATCAGCACACGTCCCCATCGAGGTGCTCGGAGCCTACCCTAAGTTACGGATGACTAGGCCATAGTCAACCGCGCTGGCCAAGTGCAGGTTGACTTCACGCATATCTTTGAATTTCTTCTCAGATATGTGCATAACTTACTAATATTAAATGTTATATTTACCTTTCACTTTCTTCAACTACGGGATCTTCTGCCGCTAAAGCCATTGAACTCATACATATAACTAACATGATAAAAACATCAAAATATCTTAAATTTACAACCCAGTGTGCGCCTCGCCTAATTCTGTAAAAGAAAAAAATATCTTACTATGTGAAATACGAACAAGGAGGTTACCCTTCAAAGTCCTAATATATGAATAAATTTATTAAATTACATTTAACAATAAACTAACAAAGAATCTAATGAAGTCCTATTTGTATAAACTTACGGATTTGTGGGTGATAAAATAAACATTGACGAATATGGCAGCATTGGTTTTGGTCCATCTGGTATCTCTTCTTCTTCCTTTTTGGCCTCTTCTTTCTTTTTGTTCTGTAAAATTTTGTTATTGATTTTAATACAATACTTAAAGCACATACTCAGATGGAATACATTAATATTTGAATTTGTTAGTTATGTACATAAATTGCAAAAACACTCAAATTTATCACTATCAATTTCAAATTGTATTTTTCTAACAATCTAATTTTCTTTTAGGTTAGGGTTGAACATGTTAGTACCGTAAGCAGAAGCCCAATTAATGTATATCCCATTATTGTTATTTTTTTTTAAAGATGAAATTTTAACATGCATTAATTTTGTATAATTAAGTATGTACACAACAGCATTATTAAACCTTTAAGCGATGTTAAAAAATAATTGCTATTAAACCAATAAAAATAAAATTAATCATATCGATAGCTAATTTTTAGTTATCTAAATGAGGTTACATATATTTTAAAGTAAATAATATTTTGCCGATAAATAGTCGACTCACATAAGCGACATTGAATTGCTTTTCTTAGACAGTAACTAAAATATTGTTGAATACCAAAAACATTGAGATTTTGATAAATTTAATGTTCTAAATAGAATATCACATGTACAGCAATGGTGTATTAGTGTAGGAACAGTGTTTAAATTGAGTAATTTCCCAAGCATTCACTTTATATGTTCAGTTTGATATGAGTTATTATTTGTATATTATATAGAAGCTCTAAGGACTCATTGAGATGAATCAACAATATTTTGTAGTGTCCGAACCAATGCACACTGTCAAGCATAGCGGAGTATCGCCACCGATCCTTTACCTTCCTACTTGTAGTTGTCGTGGGACTTATGTCTACCCGAGGTGGGGTTCCATCCACCGCGTGTAATGCACCCATCTCTTTCTCCAATTCCTAATTAGCCGAAACAGAGGTTGTCGTGTGAAATACAATTTTGACCGAATTTGTATGCATATCCAATCTAAGCGATGGTATCGTAAATTTTTATAATTTCTAATAAACCGAATTATCTCATCAAGATGAACTCTTAGAGAAAATATACTTTCTGTATATAGGAGTTTTAAATATAAAAAAGTAAATTTGGAAAATAAAATTTAAAAGTGAATTTTTGCTACTCAAAAAACATGTTAGTTTCTTCACCTTCGAGAGCAAACATCGAGATTCAGTAATTTGAGTCAAGATACGTTTTTGTTATACCGGGAGTAGAGGAAATGGACGTAAATAAAGCGGACATAGAGAAGCTAAAAACTTACTTGAAGCTGTTTTTCTTTGTCCTCTTCAACTTGTTCCTCTTCAGCTGCCGTCAACTCCTGGAAACACATAACAGCAACATTTATGCGTGAAGCTGCGTGAATGTACATTTAGCGTTTACATCAACACGACAAGAGACTCCTGCAATTCTTAACTTATGCAACCTTTATAGACAATCTGTACATAGTATAATTAGTGTAAATATTGATACATGCCTGAGCGTTCGCCAGATTGTCGACGGCGATGGCAAGAAACACGTTCAACAATGTGTAGTTGCCGAACAAAACCAAGATGACGAAGTACAAAGAATAAATCATGCCTTTCTGTATACCGCCCTGAGACTGAATGCCGTAATACATTACTTCATTCCAATCTTCACCTGTTAAAATCTGGAAATCAAACAAAATAATAAATTACACCTCTACGAATATGTTAGACAAGATTGTAACAATTGTTTCCATAAGTTTCTTTTTGTCAAACGGTTGCAGTTTATACTTAAAATAATAAAGTGATGACATACCTGAAATACTGTAAGCAGTGCGATAGGAAAAGTGTTGAAATTGGTCGGCGGTGTGCCATCTTCGAAGTTAAATTGTCCTCCGAATAACTGCATACCGAGTAGAGCAAAGATGAGGATAAACAAGAACAGAAGGAAGAGCAATGAAATTATAGATCTCATAGAATTCAATAGCGATATCACAAGGTTGCGCAGGGACGACCAATATTTTGTAACCTAAAATCAAAGAAACATTAAACATATCTATTTCATACAAACAAAATATAATGCTTAAGTAGAAATAATTACCTTAAATATCCTTAACAATCTTAAGGCTCTAAGTACGGAGAGACCAAAAGAACCACCTTTGACTTCTGACCATACCACTTCAAAAATGGAACCGGATATGACAACACAATCAAAACGATTAAACGATGATTCGAAATATATCCGTGGGCCTAAGGCATACATTTTTACCCACATCTCCATCATAAATAGCCCAAGGAACACAAATTCGGCATAGTCTGTAAAAAATAACATCCAATTGTAATATATCAATGGAAATTCACATATGCTATCTAAGATAGATATAAAACTTACATAAAAACGAAGTTAACCAAGGCGGTTGGCCGTAATGTTCGACGGCAACGCATATTGTGTTGAAGAGTACCAGAACAATGACGAACCAATAGAACCACTGGGTCTTCACAGTGTGTCTGATCCAAAAACGAAATCTCTTCTCAGCCCGCCAAAAGTTTGCACATTTGCCGGCTGAACGAGATTTGCTTTTCAGAAAACCTGTATTAAATTACATTATTTAGTATTGAGTAAACAATAATGTATGTACAAATATTTGGATTCTAATATGCTGCACTTATATTATTTACAATGTTTCTTTCCAGCCTCATATGTATCGAGACAAAAAATAAAACGATTTTCGTAATAGGGATGTGTTACCCCAATAAAACCATAATATTACCACGGGCACACTGTCGCATTATTTTTAAATAAACTTTTGTTGTCTAAGTGTTACGTTTTAAGGTAACCTTTCCAACATTAGTATTCATTTTAGAAAGCTTTTGGATTTCTCTATAACTTATTAAACCAAATATGATGAAGTAGAATTTGGTACGGCTAGAGAAGTCGGAGAGGCATGTACTACGGTGTTAGTCGGTTGGTACGGAGGGATCGCTATACCTACAACTACATCTAAACTATTTCGACTACTTAGAAAATGAAAAGGAATATTCTACCAGCATCACGCTTGATCCCATACCTTGCTTTTTCTTTGGAACTGTAAACAACCAACACAATACATCACCGTACGGAATGAAATGAGAGAAATAGTTTAACACAACAGTTACGATGAAATCATGCATATTTCTAATACTATACATTTTAATGATCATAATGATACTATCTATGTAAATATACATTGATTTATACTCGATAAGAAAGAAATTCTTGTTAATTTTGAAATCTATACAATTAGCTAAAGGAAAAGGAATAAAACCAATATAACTGATGATTACTTTTGAGGAAATAATAATAGAATTTCAACTGATGAACACAACACTTAGCAAATCTTAAAGGGTCAAGAACTGACATTGTACTGACCGTCATCACCACAGTCTTCATCCTGTTCCTCTTCTTCTGTATCTGTACTCTTACTTTTACCAAGGTTTTTTAATTTTTTTTTCGCTGCTGCTCTTCTTCGGGCTGAAATAAAAAAAAAATTCTCATTTGTATTACATTTAGGTAAGAAATATTTATTACTTGATTCTTAACAAGATTCCTCAGTATTACGTATTACATGGTATTTCAAAAATATTTCATAAAAATACTGTGGTATAGGGACAAATTCCTAAGAACCCTAGTGGAATAATATTAGAAACTTTACCTTCTATTATGTGCATTTTTTCTTCTTCCGTAGTTCTTTCTTCTGCTAATATGACTTCCTCTGTAATAAAAGAAAACGTATTTATTAATTTTCTAATTTAAAAGAACACCTAAAGCTGTAATGAGTTTCTCATAATCGCAATACATAGAATACTTTGAAATATGAATACATAAACGTAGTAAATAATCTTATTTCTGTCTCACCTGCTTTACATATCCACTCAACATAACCATTGAGTTCTCTCTCTAATTGCTGCTGTCTTCTTAATTTAAGAAATTCTTGTCTATTTTCTACTTTCTCTCTTTCTTTAGCGAATTCACTGCAAAATAGCATAGAAAACAATCTAGCGGCCGTACACAGTAGATTTATTACTACTAGCAATATCTAAAATTTTGATTTAAAATAAAAAAAGTAACACACATTTTGTGCTTATAAATTCGGTGATACAAATAAATTTAAAAAAAAAGTTATAAATCTTCCGACAACTTTACTGTTGCCACTAGCGTTATTAAGAAAAAAACAAAACACAACACAATAATAATTCAACAAATAAATATCTAAACATAAAATAACAATCTACGGGTATTCATAACATTGTCTAGCTTCACAGTTGTCATTTCTTCCAACCTGCTTCTGTTATCCAATTGATATAAGCCGTGAAATCCTGATTGAACATCTGGCGAGCTCTTTCCTTCTGGAATTGAGCACGTCTCTCAACTCGTGTTCTTTCGTTAGAGAATTCACTGCGTTTTACCCAAACAAATTTAACTTAACAAAATTATAAAAAAAAACTAAAAGAAGCAAAAGTTCCATCTGCACTTTAGTATATTTTAATTTGTAATTATAACTAGTTTAAAATTAAAACAGATAATAATTAGTTATGTAAACTTACCCGCTAAGAACACCGAGAACTAAGTTGAGCATAAAGAATGAACCCAATACTATGAGAGGAACAAAGTAAATCCAGTTGAACATACTACCTAACGCATCGTTTGTCTGAAACCAAAATGCAACACAATCATTGATATAAATATAGTTGGAATCGACATCACACGGGGCCGAAGACCTGGCAGCAACCTCGGACAAAGAATTAGTATAGCTATTCAAAGGGGGACCATAATTATAATCAAATTTTAATATAACAAAGAGTTGGAAAATGTCCATTACGATACGTAAGTTGTTGAGCACTAACCACCTTTCTCACTAACCGTGGGTTTCTGAGCCCAAAATCCTCGTTTCAATAATAACATTGTTATCTCCGTTTTGTCAAAGATGATATACAGGCATGACCATATATTTTATACAGAGATTTTGTTGTCAGAAACCCACAGAAACTCCTTTTTTGAAATCCTATTAATAGCCTCAGATACAGGTTAAAAATCCTGCATATTATTTATAGTACTAAAATTCCATAAACAATTGTGAAATTCTATTTAATCAGCACTTTGTAGGATATTACATTTTGGTGTCTTACCCAATAGAGGATTGATGTCCATCCCTCCATTGTTATGCATTGGAAGACGGTGAGCATAGCGAAGCCGATGTTATCGAACGACGTGATACCCCGGTTGGGCCCTTCCCACTTCTCCAAGCACGTGCTCTTGTCCGCCTCACAAACGTTCGCCCCGGGGGGCGCTACTGTCTCGTTGTCGGCATTACACGGCGTTGGACTCTCACCTTCATTTACTATTTCATCTATTAAATTAAGGATTTTTATATTAATTAAAAGTTTCAGACTTAAGTCGAAAACGAAATCTTATTTACACAAATTCAGAGTAAATTTACATTTAGGTTACACACAGGTAATTAAAACAGTTTACTGTTTTATGTATGTTCATTTTTGTACTAAATTTTTTACGACTTTTTTAGTATTTAGGAAAAAGGTTAATACTCACTAATATCTTCTAAACTATAACAAGTCTTATGTAGCGCCCCGGAATAAAATTCGAGGCCGATGATGGCGAATATAACGATTGCAAAAAGCACCAAGAGGCCGATCTGTAGCAACGGCGCCATCGCCTTGATGATGGATTTCAACACAACTTGCAGACCTATACGGGAAAAAAACCTTGTATAAAATATTCTTAAAGACGATTATATCCACAGAATGACACAATTCCTTAATTAAAAATGTTTTGTGACTCAGACGAAATGTTATGGAGGATGAAATCGAAATGTGTAAAACTCCTTAAAGTTCCTAAACAGAAATGATGAAGTTTTATAACATGAACATATTAAATGATACTAAGCACAAGAATAATAATTAAACTATATTATAAGGTGAAACGACAAAGAATCTAAAGGCAAAAAGAAACAACAATGAAAACAGTAAGACATCGACAAGTCAAAGATGAGAAATAACGTGCACATCGAACTTTGATAGGAATACTGCTGTTCTATACGTTCCAAGTAATCTTCTTTAATCTTAAATTAAATATATATTTGATACAATTAATATGAACATTGATTTCAACAACTTAAATATGGAGATTTATATGGTAAAGAGCAGAATATAATGGATTGTATGGAACAGCAAATGGTTGGACAATGGCAAGGCTACGAATGCTAAACTAATAATGTTCTAGAACTCACTAGGAACGCCCGAAACTAATTTAAGGGGCCTCAGCACCCTAATGGCACGCAAGGTCCTGAAGTCGACGTCGGGCGCGACCGGCAGCTGCGTGATGATGCTGCCAAACACACATCACTCGATACTATAGCCTGCACTAGCAGCTAGTTAATGTAAAACTTACTACCAAGAATTGTGCTTGACATATTACATTATCCAATTCTTAAACATTTGTAACATAAGTCCAACGTTGCTCTCAAGTGTACATTAGTAATTTTGAAAAATTTTTCGTCCAACAAACACAACTCTTCTTTACAAATTTACATTTTATGGTCACACTAGCTTATTCTCTACTGTCTAGGTATTGTGTCTAAATAATACAATATTATTCACACGTTAAATCATAATAATTTTAATCTAAATGCGCCATGTTTATTCACACCTATATAATAATTGTTATAACTAAATTCTTACATTTAGCCTTTATTTGGAATACCTACACAATACACAATAAAACAATAGCAAGTTTTAACTATTATGCAACACGTAAAATAGCCGAAATCCAAAAATTACGTTACATTTAACATTGTCCATTAAAATTGTTCAAATCACACATTTCTAAAGTGTAAACGAATTCTCTCATAAATTGCAAGAAACCGATGCTACATTCTCACTAAGAATCAAAAGAACAAAAAAATACTATATCAAATCTAGAGACATAGTTCCTCTACGTCAAAAAGTTCGAAGATCGAAAATGTCTAGCGAGAATGTTCTATACAATATAAAGGTATTTATTATGTGAACTTTCGCCAATTACTGTGAATTACTTGGTATCCGCGAGACGAGCTTCAGAGGCCTCAGCACTCTGAACGAGCGCAGCATCCGCAGGTCTACGTCCACGTTGTATTCGGCGAATATCGTCATCGACCTAGTTTTTGTTATCGAAGATTTCAGTAATCACAGCATTTACCTCTGCCCTATCTAATACAATTTCATTCCATGCTCTTTACATTCCAATTTGCACTTGCCAATCGTCAGGCATCAAAACAGATTTAATAGTTCCCTGCTTTTTAATAATTGAAAAAAAATCCGAATTTTGTTGCTATGACATGGCTAATATCGATTGAACTTTTGATGTGATATGAGTATTAATAAAATATCACTTACCCAGTTACTACAACGAAAAAATCCATAATGTTCCAAACGTTCCTAAGATACGATCCCCTGTGTAAAACAAAACCTAAGGCTAATATTTTTAACGAGGCTTCTACACAAAATATTCCTAAAAAGTACGCCTCGGTCTTTTCCTGTAACAAGCAAAAATGTTAAATTAAAAATTTACGAAATGCAAACGGCATTTAAATCCAAAAATCGACATAGAGTTCGATCGGATGTTACTTGCAATTTACAAACATAAGTATATGGATTTATCGTTTATATATAGTTTTACATTACAAAGAAAGACTTCAGTATGGGAGTCAGAAATTCTGCACCGCGGAAACAGTGCAAAGTACAATGGCCGATACCGGACTGAATGTAAGATATTTACCAAGTTCTGTGCTAAGATGGTCTTGTCGCCGTTGGGCAGATGCTCCTCCAGCGCCAGCACCACGCAGTTGGCGATGATGGTCAGCAGCACCGCGTACTCGAAGGGCGGCCACTCGATGATGAACTTCGTATACCTGAAATATACATTCAGTCTCATAAGTATCGCAAGTAAGTCAATAATGCTATTTAGTAACCAAGACTTGATTTGGCGCTTCGGGTACAAGAGTACTGTTATGTACTATGTGCCAAGTCAATTTACTATTATAATATATGTAATGTGGCCAAGTTATTTTATATTTCTATTATTTCTTTATAATTCTATGATTTCCGCTTTGTTTTTTTCGATTAATTAGTAAATAAGTCAATCATAACAGTTGTTGACATGTGTAGTCTTTGTTTCCTTTTTGGTTCTTTGTTACTTTTAATAATAGTTTCTTATTATTTAAGCGACATTTTACTGTAAAATAGAAGTTGATAACATGTCTGGAATTAGATTAGTTTAGTCATAAGACTAGGTTTTAATATCATTAGGCGCATTGTGAAGTGGACGTTGTAGCGTGCGATTATAACATTAGCTTTCTATTACACGACCCATTTCGCGCGTTCACCGTCGCCGGGACACCGGCTTGATGCACTTAATGACGAGCCTTCAGTGCCGTTCTATCAGGATAACTTAATTTATTCATAGGTGGGAATATATGAAAATGATCTACAAAGCAGAGGAAAAAAAATTATCAATTTAATTCGAAATTTAAATATCCAACAAGAGTATTCTTGGTAGTTTTTTAAGGATTATAGGGTCAGGATTTGTGATATTGTTAGAAGAATAGTCACGATGGATCAATAGTTTTATATCGTGATATGGAACGTTTTTCAGTTCCATACATTATAGAATCTTTTATTAGCGATATCACTAATCTAAAGGTTCTTTATCTAAGGTTACCCCATTACAATACGTTTTTGTTGGTATCATGAATAAATATATAATTTACATAAAAAATAAACAACAAATAGTGAGGTCAGGGCACAGCGTCTCAACGAGTCGAATGGATTAACGTGCCTTTCGAAGCTTGAAGGCGCTCGAGAACAAATACTAAAGCGGGCAGCGTTTGGCTCGCTGCAACTTGACTTTGATGATCGCTTAAACTATCGCTCATCGAAAGAGCTTTTCATCATTTTGTTTCTGAATAAAATAATGTTTATTTATAGTATGCGATCTTTTCTAGTGTTTAACTAAATGACCTACTTTAAAATAAATTGGTCAATGGATTTCTTTGAATATTTTATAACAGATGTTAACCTGTTTTTTTTCGGATTCGGGAACCCGTATGTTTTGTAAGAAATATCTACACTTAGGGGCTGGTTAAGTGACTATAATTTTTTTTGAATTCGTCATTTAAATCGCTAATAGTAAAATTGCATACTAGTTCCTACGTGTACCACTATAAAGGGGTTAGAAATTCATCCCTGAAAGGACCAAAATAAGGGTTTTAATTTGTATGGCGTAACATTATACCTTCAACAGAATAACTTTAAAATTGAGAAACACTTTTCAGTAAAAATTATAATAATTATGTGTATTATTCTTATTTTAAAATCCTGTAAATTTCATAAAATGAGATGAAAATTTATTTTGAACGGGAAATAGCTAGTTACGTGGGAAAAAATATATTTCTGACATATTTTCAAATTTTGTGTATTTATCGTACGCATCTTTAGACAATCTTTACACAATATTTAGACTTTTGTACGGAAATAGGGATAAAAAGGTTAGTATGTATAAAAATAACGTATGAATACACACCTCCGTATGGGATTTTCGTCGGAGAATATGAAGAGCGAGCTGGGCCCCGGAGTAGCGGGCTGATGAGCGCCGCCCATGGTATCAGCTGGCGCCGCGCGAGCCTGCGCGCCCGCCGCCTCCTGCGCTGCCGCCAACCTGCAATACGCGAACACACAATTTTACATACGACTTTCAAAACTTTATTGGTGCTTGTAAACTTAGTAAGTTTTCTCAGAACTATAGACATCGGCGGTATGTAAAGGAACAGCACTGCGAGCGCATACCTGCAATCCCTAGAAGAACAATCCGGCTATAGATTATCTCCTAAAATAATTACACGGTGAACTGAAATAAATTTACTATAAAGCGAATTCAGTGATGTAAATTGCATCAGTTATAAAAAAAAAATTAGATTGAATGGATGCATGTTTTATAAAATTTAAAAGTATTTCTTTTCTAGTAATGGAAAGAAACAAAAAATCCAAAATAAAATATTATTCAATTAAATTAATACAATCGACTTTACATTTATTTTTTACTGGCACATTTGTATATTAATTGTCAAAATAGTCCGTAAGAAATGACCAATAAATTCCACGAATTATATCAAAATGCATTCAACATTTCGCATTCGTGTTTTCTTATTAATTATTAAATAAACATGTGTTAAAACTATTTTAATTTTCATTCTCGATATTAAACGACAATATTGTGGTTAATTGACGGTCGCATTTACAACGTTCAACATTTTCCTGCGCTCACAAGCTCATTATTTCGTTATAACACGCCACGCGGTCACTGGAGCAGATTAAATTTATTTATATCATATCGACAGCTCGCGAACCAAACTTGCTTTTATCCCTTTACCAGCTTTTGCACATTTCAATGTACGCGATTTAAAATGTTTGATGTTTATTTTACAAACATTTTAATCTATCTACATATCTATCTAGTCGTGTAATTAAAAAGGCGTATTTAGCAAAGAAGTCCAAATAAAGTTAAGTCGCGTTTCCACAGTGTGCTATTCTGTACAGACCCAGAAGAGGCATCGTGTAAATGAATGTCCGTCGTCGAATACACCTGGAGTCTGCTAAAGCAAGTCGTTAAATTGGTGGATGGCAATGGTTGATCAGTAGAAACGCGCCCTTATATTCTAAATTGAATGACTTAACTCTGTCATTATCTTTGGATCCAAAATCTTTGGCTATAAAATATTAATAAGTTCATGTATTGTCTAAATTTCTCTTTCATCATGTTAGCTGACTAAACGCTTAATTATCTCAGTTCATTGAACTTGTGTTAATGGCTCATTGATTATTATTAAATGGCTCATTAGTGATAAGGATAACTTAGGAAAGTGTCCGAGAGAAGCATAGTTGAAACCTTAGCTTGTTTTATATTAGTCTGTGAGCCGTAAATTATTCAAAAAAATTGCGAAGACAATGTTTATAATCTGCCATTAGCACTGGCTTACTGTCAGAGTATACTAGTCCTGAAACTTTTGATTCTATCGCCCGTATTTTTTACGAATAAAAAACAATATTATTATGCATTGTAATAAAAAGTAGCCTTCCTACAATATTATAGAAGTAATGTGTTCGTATACAGTTGATTGATATTTAATGCACAGTCTATTAGCGTAAGGCCAGTGTGCCTTCATATTATCTAAGTTATGCATAGATTGAATAGACAGGCGAAATGTAGGTCAGTGCCTCGACCGGTCGTCGTTACTATAACAGTGGTGCGCCTCATGTTTGTGGTCTTTGGTCTTCGTAGCGAGTGATAATTTCATACAATATTTTCATTAAAATTTCACACACGTTATGATACATGGTGTTCTAAAATTAATATTAAAGTTAATATCACAAATAAGCTACACTAAATAGTTTCTAATCATTTTTTTTAAACAAACACATTTGGAATATATTATATTACAGGAGTGATCACATATTATTATTTGTTAAAAATTGTTTTTTTTGAGAACGACCGGCATAAAAATATAGTCTTAAAGAGCACTAACCGTGGGTTTCTGAGACACAAATCTCTATAAAACAACGTCAACCCTGTCATTATCTTGAAAAAAAAAACAGAAATAACAACATTCTTCAAACATAGATTTTAGTCTCAGAAACCCACGGTAAAAGTACTAAAAACTAAAGTGCAATCAATTATAATAGATGTCACCACTGGTATTCTAAAACCTTGTCATGTAATATAATAATACATTTCTTTCTATCTGAACCTTCCATACAATTGTCACGCTATGAAGTGCTAATATAATGAAAATTGTAAACTACTTGCATATGATTATGTAAAACTCACCACATGATATGGTAATTTATAAATGGAGGGATGTTTAATTAGTACTCGTACACTTCATAGTTACAACAAAGGGTTTAATGCACAGCGAAGAAATAAAAAAATCAAAAATATGTTCGTTATTCTGTATAAAAAAACTCAAAGGGAACATGCTTAAAAACATAACAGGCAAGTTTTCAAAGATTTAAAGAGGGGAAGTATGTGAGGATCATACAAAATAGAAAACTCTAATTCTGCCCAGATCTATGTTGCACATGTATTAACTTTGGGCTGATTTGTATCACTTCCCATGATGTTCTTAATCTTCACATTCTTTGATACTTTAGTAAATACATAACGAGCATAAGCTCGTTATAACGTCGTCGAGTACGGTATAAACCGTAGAAACAGATTTGGTGAAGTGATCCTGTCAACTGGAACAGCGTGGTTGACTATGGCCTAATCACCCATGACTTAGGGTACCCTCCGAGCCCCTCGGTGAGGACTTATAGTGAGCTGATGGATATGAAGTGATCCTACGTTTTAGTATAGGCTTAATTTAGTCCCTTTATGAGGAAAGGATGGGAGTTTGGCAGAAGAGGTGACGCATAGGAAAGAATAATATTCTAATTTTGTGCGTTCCGTCCTCCGTCGATAGGCAACACATCTGCCATTGCGGATGTCTATGGGCAGCAGTCGCTTCGCCATACCGGAGAATTCAAGTAGCCGCTTGCTCGTTTGCTACCTTATGATATAAAAAGACATGAACTTTCATCATTTTCTTCCATAGCTGAAGCATGGCAAAGGATTAGCTAAACCAAGCAAATAAATAAAATAACAAATGTTAGTAGATAACAAAGACTCAGGCTGCACTCAGTTTCATTTAACTTGCTTTACTTTTTCACCGCTAGATAAATTCAAGTGAAAAAGTAAAAGTCACGGAACGTACATTAAATTAATTAAGCCGAGTCGGTGTGTTACGAACGGTTCGGTACACCCGGGGGATGATCGCTGTATATTGAACGTGTTTCCCTTGACCGGAAGTCTGTGTTTATGAATTTTGAATAATGTTTTAATTTTTTTTAATCTCGAATTACTTTTGAATTTAGAATTCCATTTAATCCTAAGTGTCTTTTGAAGTTACGCACAAAGATGATTATAGAAATTTGTATTTTTATATATTTTTTAAATTTCGTATTTGAATAGAAGTGTATATTTATGGTGAGAAAAAGAATTTCTGAGAAACCAAAATATTTATTTTACTCATATTCCTTTGTAAGTAGAATCTTTTTACTTCTTAGAAATTAAATCGATTTCAGACTTCATAAGACATAAATAAACAAACATCATAGATATTATGTCTAGACACAAATGTAAGAATTTTACTATTTCGATGTAACGTATATTCAAACGACTGACATATTCAAATATAAGTTTATATAGATATTTGTTCATCTATAGAGGAAATCAGAAGCAGGGAGGAGCATTGTAGGAGCGTCTATTGACCGCGTACGAATCCAGAAGCTTGGTATAGAAAACCCGCTAATGTGATTCCATTGTGAAAAGAAAATATAGCTAGATTTAATACATTACGTTGTAATCAAAGTCGAGTTCTGAGCGAAGGTTCTTTGTTAATGGATAATCTATAAATCTATTACATATACATATTGACAATTCACGAAAACTATTTCTTGAAATTTTATATTTTTACATTCATATCATCTTAAATCATTGCAAAATTATGCGCCACACCATAGCGCAAAAAAACAGAAAAAAATAACAGAAAATTGTTTTTTTCTTTTATGATATTTTTCTTATAAAGTAATAAAAATATCCCGACACATTTAATGGCTTTATATTTTGTAATTATTTTTTTAGCAAATCAAATGACTTTCCGCACTTTAAAATTGATCCAGCCGTACTAGCTACAGGTTCTTACAATACTCATACAAACATTCATACATACTGGAGAATAACAGTGCGTAAACAACAATTGTAAACATAACCTATATGACAATATTTAACTTACGTTGGCATCTCCATAGTTTCCTTATCATTTGTCAATGCATTTATATAAAATTCTTCAAGTGTTTAGAAGTTTTACAAACCACTTTCCTTTAGTCACTATTTCATTACACTGTTTACATTTCAAAAGAACAACATAACCCGCTGGGACAGAACTGACTGTCAAATGTCAAAAGTTGAAAATAATCGATTATTAAATGTAACTACCCACAAAAAATTTAGTTACAGAATCATTCAATAATTGAATAATAATAATAGACTATAGTTTATTATTATAATCTTTAATCACGGTTCATGTTACATGGACATGTGCAGAATAGACTAACCATGGATTTCCGACATCAAAATCTTTGTATAAAATAAAACATATCGTTATCCCTGTCATTATCTTTGACAACACAGAGATAACATTACGTTTTAATCGGAGATTTTTGACTCAGAAACCCACGGTGAATGTGACAAAAGGTAAAATGTTTAAGTATCTATCACATATGTGCAATATAACTAACAATTTAAATGACATATGGGGAGTTACATGTCTCGAGTTAAATCGATCTGGAGGAAGAAAACCTGGTGCGATGACCCTACATAATATTCAGAAATATATTCATGTAATATATAAGTTTATTTTAATTGTTTATTAGTGTAGTGACCCACTGGGAGTTACGAGCATGTGCCGCATATGTATGTCATGTCACTGGATACTTAAACGATACGATGAATATAGCAAATTAGGTAAATGGCTTATGTTAGCACTTTTCATTTATTTACAATACCACTATTTAAATTATGTAATAAACAATTTTTAAATGCAGAACAGGAAAAGGAAACAGGTTTTTAGATAAATAATCTGTAATCTGTTACAACCAGTGAAAAGCTAATTAGAGTATAAAATATGAATTATTAAAACTACAAACCAATTAAACATTTGTATTGTTATTTACACTCGGCCACTTTCCATTTTTGCAATTTTTATTGCTTAAATAAACTTTTGGTACACCTTGATTTTTTTATATTATAAGGTGGCAAACGAGCGAGCGGCCATCTGAAAAACGCTGAAATAACAAAGTGACCGTTGCCCATAGACATACGCAATTGCATTTGCGTTGCCTACCTTTAATCGATGGAGGAGAGGATGCACATAAAGAAAATAATTTCCCTTTCCATGCATCCTTCCATCCGGAAAGTCCACTTCCACTATCTATCCTTTCCTTATAATAAAAAGGGTGGGAAGGGAAAGATGACTAAATTAGGCCGCCGAGACGCACACTCATCAGACGAAACGCGGAATTGCTTCCACTTCACGCCTGTCTTCTGTGTGGTATTTTTAAAATGTGATTGTTCCAAACGCTTCGAAATGTGGGAAATTAAAGTGACCTAAAGTAATTAGAAATTACTTTAATATTAAATTATTTTCGTTGAATTTGAAGCTATTTGTCAATTAATGAATAAAACCTTCTTCTATTTTTAAAAAGTTGTATGTGGCACGCAATATAGTCGCAAGTCAAATGCATTTACAAAACCACAGACACTTCATAGATATGTTTGATACATATTCCCTAAGATAAAGACGATCAGTTAATGAAATTGCATTTAACATCATATTATTTACAATTAACGCATAAGTATAATTAGTGCGTGTACTTGTGTTATTTATAGTACAAGAGCTAGTGAATCGTGTCGGCCGGACCGCACGTATTCACACTACGCAATTCCTAGAGGGCGACAATTCCAATGCGTGGTGACGTCACCGATCGATGGACCGCTAGTAACAATGTGACATTGTTATTATATTGTTTATTGTTCTCTAATTTACTTATTAAATTTTTCAACGGATTTGCCAAATATTCTTTTATATTAAAAACACATTCTTAACTTGACGTACTTTAAATTTTAGTTTACGATGACTGGAATTTTTTCAAAGTAACATGAACTGGATGTTTCGAATATCTCTTAAAATGTAAATGTTATTCATTGAAATTGTGGGCGATATCTTAATACGAAGCACCGGTATTTTTAATCTCATAATCTCTTTTAAATAAAATTGAATATACACAAGAACTCATTAAAGTTACATCGTCATAAAAGATTTAACAATAAATAACCCAGTTGGTTACTTATGTTTTACACGTTGACAAAATAGTCGCTATAACATTTTACTTTTAAATTAATTTAAAAGATAATATAACAAGTTCAGAAATCATATTACTTTACATTAAAATGCAATGCGAAACCAGTATACCGCAGAAATTCAAATTTAATGCAAGAGTTTAAGCATTGTTAACAACAAGAAATGAGTTTGCGTAGGGGCGGGACGCGTTCGTAATATAGGTCATACGAACGTCACGACATTGACAAATTATTAGTATAGCTACGCCATAGGGTTGTCTCAGTTGATCTGCCATTAACATAACAGCCACACTGACCTCGAGCCTCACATCGATATGAAAAAAAAATATTCCCTGGGTACGTTCCAAAGCGGCTATTGGGGCCTGGGCCGGAGCCGGGAGACGCGACGGCGCCGGGACTGTCCCGACACTATGGCGCCGCGCTCGCAACTAGGGCTGAGCCAATGCGGATAAAACTTGAGTTATGGGACTCTCTTTTTGTTCAAAATATATGATTTAACAATTAAATGGTTTGGTTTATACCATATGACTCTAAGTAGTAATTTAAATACTGCGAAAGCTTTATTTTATGTGATTTTATTTAATGATCAAATGCAAATTCGAATACAAAGCACGTGGGAGTCTTTATTTATCCTTACTAGAATTACATACCTTATAAAGAGATCACTTGAAAGTGAGAAAAAAACACAAACAGTCAGCATTAGGTGATATTACGAAAGTCGGAATTACTTCTCATAACTTTCAATACTTAGATGTCAGGATATCAAAATATAAAAGCGAATCGTAATATAAAATTTGTTTCACAGATTTCCTTCACTACCCCGTTAGGCGACTTTTTTAATTAGCTTTCATTCATAATTTCTACCCACAACAAAGCTGCTGTCGTTTCCAATACTATTGTTTCGTTTTTCAGATATCTGTAGTAATTAAGGTGAGAGCTAGGGAATAATGTCTTCGATTAACATCAAGACGCTTATATCTTTCACTTTGACAATGAAAATAGATCCAGAAATAAAAAAGATTGACTTTTATAATTATACTCCACTAGCCCAGGAGAATAGTCAAATGTTCCCGCGCATTTATGTATTTCTTTGTCCGTTTCTTTTCTAAATACGTATGAATCCTTTGTGTTTCAACCTGCCTTATACAAATTATATCTTTTCAAAAACAAAAACAGTAGTTTAGCGTAATTATTATGTAACATACACGCGTCGTATAATTATAATACAAGGGGTAAAAAAATAGGTCACTAAATAATTGGGGGATACAATATAGCGTGATTTCGCTTTGAGTTTTAAATTCATGAGAAGCGTAGCATTCTGAGAATTGGCATCGGGACAGTGACGCATCGTAATTGACCTAGAATCTGGGTCTATATTTCCTATGAACTTGTGCGGTGATAGTAAATCGAATGCATGCACGCTTGTTGATTCCTATTCCAAGTAAGTTCACGCACAAATGAACGTAGTGACGCTTCTACACGCTCACAGAAACGCACATTTACACAATTCTACGCATGCTTGTACAATCTGGGACCTAACGAGCTTAGAGCATGAATGTTGTTCTCGATAACTGCAACAACAAACTACATTTCGTTTTAAATTCATGTAATATTAAGAAGTAATACATAATACAGTATACCAAAGCTCTGATTTGCTTCAAACTTATTTTATCTTATGACAGTGATAAGCTCGAAGGAGGCGTAAAATACAATGTCAATGACAGCACACAAAAATTATAACTTATGGACAACGGAGGCAATAAATCAACCAAACACTTTTTGCTAATTACCATAATACTAGTACCAGTCTTTAATGTTCATGGTTTTTTTATTGGAAAATGATTTTGCCTTATTTATTGGTAAAGCGTTAAAATATTACAAAAAGGTCTAAAGGTCTCGAAAACCTTAAAGACCTTTAAAAAGTAATTTTTATCAAATTCCTTTACATGATAGATTTAAAGGAATCTCGAAAATACGTTTTTTTTTTTTAACAAAATTAACGTTATTAAAATCATACATAATACTAGATTGCGGTAAAAGTCTTTTCGTATATATTTTTACGTAGAAATCATAAGTACACGATATACACCACGTTATATTTAATGGGATGATCTGGCTCTAGAAACTAAAAGCTTTAGCCCTGCACTAAAATATTTATATCCTAAATAGACTATTAATACAAAAACATACAAACTATCCTTGTTAACTAACCCCATAAATAAAAGTCTCTAACTTTTTTTGAACCAACTAATATTGTTTAATAATTATACTCAAATATTTAACGTAACTATTAATACTGATAATACTTAATAACTATTATATTAAAGTCAGTCTGAGTTGTTAATGAATCCATGTGATTTGCGATTAAATTATGTAACAGTTCTGCAGTAAGTTGTCTGGAGAGTCGCCAGAATCTCGCGTCCTTCGTATCCTTCCTGTGAGTCAACGCGGGCGCGGGGGCGACTGCCCGGCGCCACCCGAACACAAAACAAGCGTTTACGTAGCTTAGATATTTAGAGGTCACCGCGGTGAATATTTGCTAGATCTTTGGTACGGGATCTTTATGCGTCTCCAACGACATGCCAAGATGCAATGTATAATTTAATGCATGTGTTTTTATTGTTCATTGACATTTTCGAGTCGTGGGTGGGTTTCTAAGACCAAAAATCCCCGTTTAAAATATAAATTTTATACAGAGATTTTTGCTGTCAGAAATTAACCGTAAGGGAATGCTCATTTACTATGAGAAATATAACTTTAGACTCTTTAGATAAGAAACTATTCTGAAATCGATTCTGAATTCGTATTTCTAAGACCATTTCGATATTAATAGCAATATTAAATCAAATACAGGATGGTTTATTTGTAACATAATCCATAATAACAAGGTTTTCATTCGTGACATTTATGCGAAATATATAATATTCTGGC